ACCACATCACAATATTAAGATTGTCTTAACTTTCCGAAGAAGTCTTTATGGTTAATCCTATCGAGTAAAAATGTCAAATTTATAAAACGATATTTTAAAGTTTTCTAACCTTTTCGCATTATTAAGACAAATACCGAGTAAAATGTTGAACTTAGACACATTTAAGAGTTATTTGCCCTCTGTAAATGGTAATATGATTAATAAAGCATTTATTTAATCAAAAAAGAAAATGGTAGCAATTATTATATGTATATTCGGAATGAATGAGTTGTTAAATAGTGTAATTCAAAAGTCTACTTCACCAATTAATATATTCACATTAAAAAGAATACATAATGCCAATAACGAAATATCATACTCTCATTTGGTTTATCAATAAATTATTTTAATGAATGAACATAGATATTTATTGTAAACTATACTTTGGTACTGTTATCCTGAACAATGATGAAGGCTTTATCGAGATGGGTAAACTAGACAGCATTAAAAGCCTCAACCTGGGAAATAAATCTTCAGTGTAATTTCAAGGTATATGAAGATGTTTCTTCATACTATTGAAAGATAATTGCAATTACTTACTTAGAAAAACGAAATTTCATGGCTTCAGTACTTGGTTACCTTATTGTTTATTTTCTTTTGACAGGCTCGTAAATGGAATCGAAATGGTTCTACTTATGGTAAAATCTGTCAACCAGGTGACGTAATCGGTTGTATGATGGACTTGGTAGATAAAACTATATGTAAGTAATGTAGATATAAAGTGCTTTTCAGTAATGTTACATACCGGAAGGAAAACTGAGTTACTACACTGCGACTGTATTATATTTACTGTGTGCGAAACAACAGTAACCTTTAAAAATCAAGTTTAGATCTATGCAAATACTTGTCTAGAATTTCTAAAAAGAACATGTAGCTTAGCTTAGCATAGCTTACGCCTGTTACGCCCAATGGAGCATAGGTCACCGACCAGTTTTATCCAACCAACTGTGTCCTGGGCTTCCCTTCACAGTTCTATCCAAAGAGAACACGTATTAGATGTAATTTAACGATGAACAGTGATTTTAAGCAAAAGATTTTTTTAAACGTTAAGCGGTTATTAGATTATCTTTTTTCTATCAAAAATATATTTCATTACATGTCAAGGACATATCTTGAATCTTTCTAAAGGTCCGTATTTTTAATGCTTTATCGATTAAATGGCAATTTTATTTGACCACTTTCCTGAAAATATAAATTAATATTTACTGTTATAAGATCAATTCATAAGGATGAGATAACTTTTCAAAGGCTAAATGACAATCATAATCGGATTGTGTAAATTTCTACACCTACTATCTAATCTAAGATGATTGCAGTGAGATATTCAGGCCTAATTTGTTTTGAGATACTGTTCTTAAAGTAAACAGTAAGGTAGTGGATTTAGAAATAATCATATCCATATATTCATCAATCTTTGGACTTGTGTATCAGAAGCTCACAAGGGAAATTATTCAAAGAACCTAACCGAAGCTGTGAATGTGTCCTATGTTATTTTTAGACCGTCCTATGGATATTAATCAAAGATAATGTTAGTAGTCTGGGAGAAATATAACATTTTAATGTTAGTTTAATTAAATCAACTTCATTATCTTAATAACGTTAAACGATACTTGTTATTGTTTTTTCTATAAATATCTCTTCTTCAGTACATAAAATAAAAGCATATCCTCTGTTTATTTTTTAAGCATTTTCATTGAATGGAGAATTGATGATGGATCCACTTGGATTGGAAATAGCTTTTAAACATATAAAAGTGGATGAAGGTAAATTTATGTGTTTTATTTTTATCTATTTGGTTAGTAGTTTACTTGATAAAAAAATAATTTGAACAAACTAACTTAACGTAAACACACGTGTTCCATCAGACTATCAGGTCAAAATATTGATCTTGATCAAAAAATTTGAAATGAACTAGAATATATATATAGATATATATATGATGCGAACTGAACTCAACTTCTATTACATGATGTAAGTGAGATAAGCTAACTCAAGATGCCAAATATCTATACACGTTGTTGCATATCCATGTGAATTATGTATTAATTCAACCAGACGAACTGCTAGAATTTAGTGGTCAAGCATCTTAATTGACAGGTGAAAATTATTCCTGAATTTCTTACTATGAAATAATTTATTGCTTGATCGTTATTTATTTCTAAGTTTCTGATTTTCTAATTTTTTTCCCACTCTGACTGCAACATATAGATTCTATGCATTGTGGTAAAACAACATATTACATTGTTGTTTACTTGTTCGCCTGATCTACTTTATTTTTTTTATAATAAACTGAATGATATCATTTTCTATCTCATTATTTTTTTTTCTTTTGTGTTAGATCCGTGTTGTTCATTTTTATAAGTAGAGCATGTTTTTCTTAAAAAATATTGATCTCATTACATTATATCATATTTTTTAACAAGTAACTATTGAAACCGATACGCCGTCAAGTCATAAACTATTTTATTCTAGTTGTCTGACGACTGAATAACTATTTTTGATTACCTCTTTGTATATCTAAGGTGTATATTAAATGTTCAATGTTGTGTTTTTAGTATCTCCATTGATGTTCTCTTATCCATCGAATGATATAGGTTAAACTGTGCGATGAATATGTGGGTTGTAACTGAAACACAAATAAACTGTAATTAGATTCATTCTGAAACTCTCCCAGTATATTTATTCTTTTATAATTGACACTCTCAGTTTACATTACTTGAAAGATGTATTGACCTGTCGCTGTTATTTGTAAAAAGGAAGGATTATTATCTGTGATTGGATTTGGTAACTTGTTAGTTAAATTACATGGCTACTAGGTCAGGAGTACGAACATACCTCTACCTGATTCGGTGATGTGGTGTCATACAAACTGTTTGACTCGAATCTGAGAATATAAATCCGTACTTCAGAAATTATTTACACGGTCTTTATTACTATCGTTGTGGGGTACTTAAATTTAAAATCATACTTTTATAAACCATATCTAACGGGTAACATATATACACATCGAATGAAATTAGTTTGAATGTAACTTCATCACAATTAAAATACATCGCTACTTATTCTAAACTAGTGTAAATTTCTTTTCTACTAAAATTTATTTTTTAAAGGTTATGTACCAGCATTTTCTCTTGGGTCTGGACAACAAGTTAAAATCAATTATGGAAGTGATGTTCAATCGTTGAAATTTTTCACTTATTGTGGATTACAAGAAGGATATAAACCATTAGGAGTGTAATTCAACTAATTACTTTTTTACGTATTTATTTTACAGAATTCTATGTCAACTAATTTTATTGTTTAATTATGAAAGTTAAAATTACCTGTGATTTAGTCATCCTAAATTAAATGATGATTGATTAGATACATAATTTGACAACTATACGATCAAACGGCTACACTAAAACTTTTTAACTTTGAATTAAAAAAAATCCAGACTTATGACAATTCTTCAACTGAAAGTGTTCAGTACTAAGTGAAACGTACTTTGATTTCGCACTTAGTTCATTATGTCCTCTCTGTGAAGCACCAAAAAAAAACTGCTAAACCTTCATAAAACAACTGCTGTTGATCACATTTATTCATTTAACATGGAATTATGTGAACCTGTATCATATTTCATTCAGCTGTGAAAGTTAAATCACTATGTAAATGAATTTGAAAGCCTAATACTAAGTGTATAGGAAAATGAGTAGACACAGCTGGTTTCAGTTCAAACAAAAATTAAAGTATACTAAAATAAGTAAAAGTATCAATGATGGTTATAAAAGGGTTTTTACTCTTTGTTTGATAGTTTGAATTTGGTCATCACAGTGATGATAGTTACCTTTTTTGCTAAGAGGTCATGAACATAAAAATACGACCTCTTGAACATATCTTTTCACACTGCATTATTGAAAGTTGGATGTGCAGAAGGAAATGGGTTATCATTATAAGTAACCTGGTGCCCTGAGAGTTGGAAGGACTTCATTTAGAAGAACTGTGACGTCTCATGGTGAGAGTCGACTTTCTTCAGAATTCACGAGGCCGATGCCTCTTCTGAAAACTAGCGGTAACATTAATACAATCATGATAATTCACTCATTCCTATATTCATGATAAAATTTCATTGAAAATCAAATAGGAGCAAACTTCAATCAAAGAAATCAGTACGATAAGCTCTTAATCTGCCTGATTCTTTTGAATTGTATATGTACATGAAAATGTTTGTAGTGCTTTTTGACTAAGTTAGATGACTGATTAACTCCTGAAAATCCAGTAACAATCATTCATGAGATCATAAAATTTTTTGTACAAGAGTTATGATGATTCGTTGTTCTTTTCTAATAAAACAGCTATTATCTATTCATCATTTCAGTAATATGTGTCGACCATTGCCTATGTGGTATTCCCGAGAGGATCCATCATTATTTGTTGATGTTGACCGTCAGCATCCTTCATTAAAAGTTAGCGTATCATCTGGAACGTAAGTTTTTCTTTTATTTGTTTGTTAATTTAGTAGTACAGTAAACTGCTTTTTTAAAATAAATTTAATTGAAATGGAATGTTCTCTACTTTGAAAAATGTATTACATATGACTAGATAATAATACCGTAACTATTTATTCCATGAAGTAATTATCTGAAAGGTTTATCGCCTTTTTGATGCTTATAAGATCTTCAGTTTGAAAAGAAATTAGATTTCCCTAGCTTGGAGACATTTCACTATATAAATTGTACTGAAGTAACGAACATTGTTCACCAGATAAGTGATAATGTTGGTTTTGAATTCCATTTTGTCCTTGGTACGAAATCTCATCAAAGATATTGAATCTTTACAAACAACATGTTATAGCTCAATCATTGTGAAGAACGTCGATATTCTAATATGAATTTGTAATATAGTGCTGAATCACGACTAAACCCTTCCATTTTTGTAAATCTCGCTTAAGTTGATAATATCCTAATGAGTGTTTAACTACTCGACGGACTGATCGATTTCATCAAAAAGTTGCGAAAATTGATGACAGCTTGAAAATATTAAAAACAATTTAGTTTTAGGAGATTTTGTAAGTTTTCCCATTGCTTAATTTAAAATTTCGAGTATGATCTGCATCACCAAAGTAATTTTTATTGAAAAATTGTTCAAAATCATGTTATACTAAAGTTGAAAATATGAATTATTGGATCCTGACATAATTCATCACTGGTACTCTATCCACTATAATATTTTGCCTTGTATTCAGTGTTGCGTTAGATATTAGCTTTACATAACCAAAGTACAATAAACTATGACAAAACAACTATTATTTCATGATGAAGATAAACTTCAGCTATCACAGTTAGAGGCTGATAATGATAACATTTACTTGAATATCTCCTTTATATGGAATTCAAATTAGAAAGTATAACCAATGAATTTTTGGAAAACTAATTATTATCAATTATTTCAGTTTTATAATAATCTACACATAGTTCCACTGTTTTGTCTTTTTTTAATAGTTAATAAATTAAATACGAGAGATCATAATTAAGTACTGATTATTATTTCTGTTCTGACCTAACAAGATTCTAATTACTGTTACTAGTACGGCTAATTGCTTAGACTGGAAATGATGATGCTTTGTATGATGGGACGGGACGGATGTAGCAAGACTGTAAATGAAGACTTGTTTGCTCATCAACCAGTGACTGAAACAACATCAAAACATAACAATGAAATATATATCACGTTAAATATTCAATTAATAGATTGATTCAAATGTGAAGAGTGAGTAGCAGATCACATAAATTTATCAGTAACTTAGGCTGTAAATATGTATACCTTACAAAATCAATAAATTAATTGACTTGACTGAGGAATATAACTCATTTGTTTTCTTCCTAATTATTCCCAATAAATTATCATATTTTTTTCCCTTCCACTTTTCTTTGCAACTTTTTCAGAACACCTACTTTTAAAGTGACCGTTAAACAAGCAGACTATATGTCATCTGAAGAAACACAATTTTTACGATTAAGTTTAGGTACACAGTGTAAAGATCATTTTACATCGAAGTAAGAATTTTTTAAATTTTTGATTATTGATCTGTCAATTATTTAATAACTATGATTTTTATTCTGTTCTAAATAAAACTGAGGACACTTCTAGCTTGAATGTCATGAATATATTTGCCTATAGAATATGGCTGTTACTTCAAAATTATATAGCCACAAACGTTTTACGATCTTATGAGTTTATCTTATAAACGATGATGATGAGACTATGGCACGAATTAGTGAATGATAGCTTGATATGCGATCAAGTAACTAAAACAACAAATCTTTTTATACTTAAGTGAATAAAATAAACGGCTTTCCGCTAAAATGCCTAGAACTCACTTTAAATTTGGTGGGGGAAGATAATCATAGTTTTAATGTAGGAGTTCTGTGGAGGTTTACTAACTTATAGATTAACTATCGGAAATGGATTTATTAGTCTATTGGGTAACCATTCATCTCGAAACCTGAATATCCTGGATTTAGTCCCTGGTGGGATTGTGAATGCACACTTCTGAAGGGCTCTATACAAGGAAGAAACACATTTTCTGTTATACAACAGTTTTAAAAAAATGTATCTGGATACAATCTTAATTTATTTAACTGAAACATCATATTCGGTAGTGAGAAAGTCCTTTTCTGAATCATACATTAGAGTATACCTTTATTTGGTAACTGATGGTCACTTCTCTTTATATCAGCTAAACGAATAGAGTACCAAAAAAGCTTCAAAACTAACTCAAGTTCATCATAGGATTCTTCAGTTAATTACATAGCATTTACATCTGATTAACAACATATCTAAATGTCGAAATCATTTTTAAATTGTACTAGTTTACCTGATGAGATTATCATAGGAGTTTAAAGGAAGTTTTCAAACATTTGAATTTGATTTCTATATTCATAGGAGCTTGAATGAACGTCATGCACATCTTGATGCTTTAAGGCGTCAGCTTGAACCAGAACCAGTTTATGCACCAGGTGCTGGAGTTGGGGAATCCTCTAATCTGGTTATGATGGGACCAGTAAGTAATGTACTGATTTATTGATATTTTTTGAAAGAGAGAATTTGAAATATTGGCAAATTTTGTCTATGAATTAACCTATAGTCTTACTGTACATTAGTGCTAACATTCTGTTAGGATATTCATCCAATATCCTAAGAGAATTATTGGTCTATTCCTATTGGTTAATTAGTACTGGTCAATTTTATGGTCGTCTTATATATCAATGTCACGTGCTCCAATGTTGTTTCTTATTGGTTGTCCTGACTAGCAATGTCACTTCAAACGTTGCTTCCTATTGGCCGTCTTAACTGTCAATGTCACAGACATCGATGCTGTTTCCTATTCGACCAAAATGTATAAATGCGCATTGTGTAACGTTTTATGACCAGGACCAGGAACCGATCTCAGATCCCTAGTCCGGGATCCTGATTCTCTTCTGAACTCGGACCTCGTGCTTTCTGGATGCTTGTAGAATACAGGTTCTACTTCATATAATGTCTTCTTATTTTTTACTCAATATGGGGGTTGGAATGATCGGATTTGAGTAGCATGTCGTGTCACCGGATAGTCGATCCTCGCTCTCGTTTCCGACCAGGTAAACTCGTAATAGTTCAAGTATAGCAAGTTTACGTGCAGGCGTAACACAGTCAGCGGTTTCTGATTGCTAGTGTGCTGTAACCTCATGGTCTCTAGTTTTCTAGTATGACCAACTTCCTCAAAAGTGACCTTTAAGTGCCTTTCATCACTCACCTTGATAGCAAATGAACAAACTTGAAACGCATTATTTATGGTTTCTCAATAGAAAGGACCTTATAGAAAATAACTTAAAAAAGTTATTGATAATTTGACTCATGAGTGAAGATAACTAATTTTCTTAACTACTTATTTAGGTCAATTAAAAGGATGCACTGAAGTACCTGTCACATGTCTACATCAGTTCAAGTTTTCACATCACGATAACACAGCAATATGAAGTCATCACAACCACTGCTATTTTAGTAAACGTGGTAACAGTTACAGTAGCAATAATAAGGTATTGATATAAAAGAAATGATTGCCGAGGAAAGAATGAATTCCCAGGGTAAAACAGTGTATAAAACTCAGGGTCTAAAGAAAGAGAAATAGAGAATTCATGAATATCATTGAAACTAATTCAACGTCGATATGGCAGTGTGGTTTATTTAATCTGTTTGGCTTCATCATTGTGTTGACGTTGTGGTTTGTAGAGTCAGACGACGTTTAGCCCGATGCTTAAATTTAGTGTTCATTAGAACAGTTGTCTAAGGAAATCTTAGAACACTTGTAGAGAGATTTTTCCTTTTATCTGTTCACTTAGCTGAGACAACGTCAAACCTATGCAGACACCTTTTAGTTTAGTTGAGATCATTAAGTGAGTTGTGCAAGCAAGATCGAGCTGAGTCGTGTACAGACTATTCAGTTAAATAGGAAAAATAAAGAAACAGATAGGTAGATAATGATTTTGAATTAACTACAAAACTAAACACAATATAACTAATAGAAGTGAATGAATCAATCCAACTTCAACATGCGTGGTTCGATCGTGTATTCTATCATGAATATACGGCTGTCTAAATTTTACATTTCTATATTTAGGACTGTATAATCTTCCATATCATAGTTCATGTAATTGTGAGATTAGCTTTGATTAATTTACATTTCAGCAGTTCCTTTTTCTAATTCAACACTCCATTATCTCTCCCATTCACTTAGACATAACCAACCACAAAATCCTAGTCATCGTGTGTGTTTGACTAACTCTGTGCATCTTGTCTAGTGAAGTGCTATCATTGGATTGTAAGGACATCTTTTCTCCATTCAATTATATCTAATTTGCACATTTGTGCATCCTTATTTTACAGTATTCTCGATCAGGTATTATGGTCCAGTCATTTGTGAAAGAGTTTAACATTACAGAAATTTTATGAGCAGCTTGTTTTGATGATAGTATTTCATCATCAATTTTACTACCTAAATTTTGCCTAATTAACTGACCAACTGATCTAATTTTCTTTTGTTTTATTTCATCTTGTAGGATATGTCTGCTTCTACATTAGAAGTTCGAGATAGACGTGGTAAGAAAATTAGACTTGGAAATATGTTTAAGAAAGCTCGTTCAAGGGATCCAAGTCCAGAAGTAACATCTACTTTAGGTGGAGGTTAGAAATTCAAATAAATTGTATTGACTAGTTTTATTTTTCTATATCTTTTTTATTGTTTATCATATTCATTGAGTGTAGATCTTGTATCGTTTTCACTGACTTCTTCGGTTGACAATATAAATGTTTAGTTTTCTATAAAACTCTTAACTAGTACACCACTAATAATAAATTTGCAATGATAGGTGAAATTTTATGTACTTTTTTTGCTTCGATTTCACTCTCAACGGAAATTTATTTGCTCATAAATTTCTGGCGATGAGAGTGGATTGTTCTTGTTATTTCATTCTGCACACCTTTCCCATGTTGTTTACAAGATACAGATCTGTTAAACTACCTGATTAGTTTCTACATTATATAAAAAGATTATTCCTTTTATCTGTTCATTTAGCTGGTACAACGTAAAATATATACATAGACACCTATTAGTTTAGTTAAGACCGTCAGCTGTGTTGTGCAGACCTAATCTAAATCGAGCTGAGTCATGTTCAGAATATCCATTGAAATAGAAACACTCGTTGTTTGTTGTCTACTTTTTCTTTTACTCAAACAAACATTTTTTCTAATTACATCACAATACGTCGATGTAATTTTAATTGCTAGGTATAATAAATATTAGTTTGTGTAAACCAGTGAATCAATAGCAATTGTACAACCTATCTTAGTAACTCCAATTTTCGAATACAACCTAAAATACTCAACAGTAGTTTATCCAATGAACATCCGAAGTTGAGTTAAAGATGTATTAATTTGATTTAAAAATATTCATAAACCTTTAATCACATAATAGTCAACCATATAAGATGGTCTATAATTCATTCACTAGTGTAATTTTAATTATAACCTGAAATAACTATGAGGGATGAGCTATAATGTAGTTTCACAGTATGTATGCATTAACAATCTACATCAGTATCTCAACTGATGTTAGCAAGTGAAGTATTTGATGTAGTCTACCTATTTACTTATCTTTAGAATTTTATCTGCGATGATAGTTCGTTATCTTTTGAAATGTCGGCTTGGAAATGTAAACGAAAGTATTATGATTGATATAACTTACCAAAAAGAAGATACGACTAAATTTATTTTTCCCTTTACTTGAAGATTTTCATGAATTTTAGTAAGTCCCAAATTTAACTGATATCCATTAATGTGCCTATTGTTTAGCTTCAGAAGTAAAAAAAGGATACATTTTTCTATAATATTCAAAAGTAGCCTATCTGTTTACCAATTATCATAAAGTAAATTAATGTACATCTCATATTCACTGAAACAATTTATGCATTGGCATACCGCTATAACCAAAAGACATTGTAAGAAACATTTTTTTTCAACAATTTTGTGGTACTTTATCATGCATTTTTTCTTCATTATATTTTATCCTTTGAGGTTGATTGAATAGAGTTTATAGGTGAACAATAGGACGTTTTTTCATTAATGATTTGAGACTATTTAATTACAGTAACCGTTTTATTTCCTTATTTATTTTAAAGCTGGTGGGTCATTGTTAAGTGGTGGTGGTAGTAGCCTTACTGGTGGCAAACGTGGTGGCGCTCACGCGACAACTGGTTCTTTAGGTCCTAGTGGTGGTGGCGGTGGTGGTGGTGGTCAAGGAAGTGCTGGATCTGGCAGTCTTCTTTCTGCAACAGCTGGAGGTTTTTCCACTGGTTTTACAGGACCACAAGTTGGACCAACTCAAATGTCTCAACTTGATCAAAATCTTACTGGTCAGAGACAAATGCAACAGGCAGGAATGCAGGCGCCAGGTGCTCTCAATGACATAAAGAATACTAGAGCAGGTGCATCAAGTCTAGATGATATGGATTTGTTCCTTGTACGTTAAAAGATTTGATTGTTCTGATTAACTGAATGAGGGAGCCATTGTTCGTTTAATTTTTAATAATATTCAAGTATATTGAGTACATAATCATATTTCCCTTATAAACGATACGGGAACCAATATACGGCAGCAGTTTATTTGCTCATTTCCACTATCAAGATCAGATTGATTTAAACAGGAAACGCTCATTTCTCACATTTTGAAACCATCAGCTTATGGTAATCCTTAAATCAGTTTGAATGATTCTACTAAACAGCTTGACATTTTTGCTGATCAGTGACTCTAAGAAGAAGTTGTTTTTGATGAAAAACTTATCAATTATTGGAATGATATATCAATATTGATCTTGGAACTTGTGGATTTTTGACAACTAGGGCAAATAAATATTCGAGCCTAATTTTGAAAATAACGTTTTGGGTGCTTTTAATGAAGTATATCAGAGTAATCCTTAGGAAATCAAAATAATTTGTCTTATTTTCTTCAATTTAATAGCTCGAAATGTTCATGATTTTGAGTATCTTAGTAATAAGTTAAAGCGACCAGACATAAGTCAAATAGTAAGCCCAAGACTTTGTATACTATGGAAATCAGTATATGTTATGGGCTGGAAATTTGGCTCTATGTTCTCACAATCATATATATTTATGCATAAATGCGCATTTATTCTCGACTGCATTTTAGTCAATGAAGCTTTCTTCTCATTCGAGTGGCTGGTTTGAGTCTCGTATGGAAAGCTTGTATGTCAGTAGCAGACTAGGAGGATAACACAACATAACATCTAGATCTCTTTCTTACTTCTTAAAATGCAATATAAAATTATTCATGAGAGTTTATATTTCAAAGATATTGACTATATTTCTACATCAAAATAATAATAATTCAGTATGATTATGAAATCAACCATTTTTCGATTATTAAAATGAAAACTAATTGTCAGTAAATTTTTTATAAGACTAAATGTAATCGAAATAAACAGTTGATATGCCTGAATGCTATTACGAGTTCACCAATACTCGGTAAGCGAGAGCGTAGAACAATAATGCAGTGACACGAAAGGCTATTCTAATTCGATTGTCCCCAGCCCTGCTAACTAGAGCAAGAAGTCTTGATATGGAGAGTGGATTATTTATTCTACAAGCACCCAGAAAATTCGAGATTGCTAACTGAGCACACAAACCAAGCTTATTTATACAACGATAGCAACGCCCTTAATCAGGCCACAAAACGCTGTACTAAAATAATCCATCAACCAATGAGAGTCAAGGATTTTCCGAGTGGGAAATGTAAGCTGAAGGTCAACTAAGCGTCTCTGGCGCGAAAACATGGAAATTCAAAATTTCAGAATATAATTACAAAATTAGCACCTTTCTGAATGAGTTCTGAGGATCTAACGTTCCCAACAACAGTCACGTTTACGAGTTTTAAATTTTTCTGTCTAGAAATATGTCATTTGGAATCACTGACTTTTAGACTAGATTTAGTATTTTTAATTACTGCTAAAGAAATATATAATCAGTAACTGAGTGTTCAGATAATTGTTTCACATAAATACGGTAGATAAAGTTGTTCAAAGCTTTAAATTTCCTGTTATTATTTATAATTTAAATCTTCACTGTAATACGACCAAGAGTGCAGATAAAAATCATTTGGAAATATGAATATAGGAAAGATAAAAATGACGATAAACATTAGGAATTTTTTGATTTCTTTAAAATTCTCATAACTGTTACTTGAAAGTTTCTTTCTTTCAGTTGAATAAAAATGTAATTAAAAAAAGATCATTGATTTTGTTAAGATATTTTTTTCTAACAACAAGAAATTTGTAAACTATCTGATTTCTTAGTTGATTTTATATTATTTCTCAAAAAAATTCTTTACTGTTTTATTTTATTTTTTTTTTTTGCGCTGAAATTTTAGCCAACATCAAGTGGACATACAAGTCCATTGGCTAATCTTGTCGATGAATTTTCATTCACTGTATTAGTACTACCTGGACAAGATCCTGGCCTAGTTCATATTGGTTGGGTAACAAGTTATTTTAAATTAGCTAAAACAAGTAAACCAGATCATATTAGTGGATTTTTACATAATGTCTCATCACAATTACAATTTGATACAACACATGCACAATTACATGGTCAATCAAATCAACATACTATGCTTGGTGATCCTAATGCTAGTGGTTTGCAACCATATACTGCTGATTTGTTTACTGTACGTCAAGCAGCTGTTTGTCTTTTAGAATCAGATTTAACATTAAAGGTAATTAGCATTTATTGATTGTAATATTTTTTTAGATTTTTTGTTAAAAAAGAACTGTTTAGTTTATAAACTATTCATATTGATCATTTCTTTAAGGTTAGTGTTAAATATGAACTATCTTAATTGTAAATAGTAGTGTGGTGCGCGCTACTTATAAGTAGTATGTGACGTGAGTGTAAACGTAATGTCTGGCAGCAGAAGATGAGGGAAGATCAAGAAAGGAAGAGTCAGAACACAATGGAATTTGTATGAAACGCATGAATAGTGAAATGTCAGACAATGGATTGATGATTGATTAAAGATTTGCAAATTAACGGTTACGATATGGTTTTCCTATTTTACTGAGTGACTCTGTAATTTTCGTTAAATACAATTCGGTTGCCCTCACCTGTGTTCTCCTTCACTACAGTAATTTCTTAAATATTAAAGCATTGCTCCCACAGTACTGTACTTTCTGTTAAATATCTGAATTATCGAATAAATATTAATAATAATAATCATAAATGATTGTAAAGCAACAGTTTCTATATATTACTTAAACTTGTCGAATAAAAATCACAAACAATCAACTTTAAAATAGAACTTACAGTTTCCAGTTTTTTTTTCATTTTAAGTGTACACTATCTTTTAAGCTAAAGAATTCTCATCAGTTTGTAATATAATACAGATTAAACTTTCAAATAATTATCTCTGCTACATAAATTTTTTTTTAGGTTAACGATATTATTATTATTATTAGATTTTTGCCTAAAAGACATTCAAAATATTTCATACTAGTGAATTGATTCAAGTTAACAGATGAACATTTAGAATGATAACAATGTGAATACATAATTTCTTTTAGAATATTTTTAAAAAAAAGCTATTGATTTATGATTAGATACTGTAAATAATTGTTAGATTAATAAATATCATGTTAAGTGTCATATTTTATTTCAAATTATAGTCTGCTGTTGCGGAACGTGCATCTTTCATGGTTAATTTAGGACAATTACTTAATCAAATGGCTACAGCAGAAGATTTAGGCAAACGAATGAGTCAAGGTTTATCCCTAACCTGTTGGGTTGATATAGCCAGTGGAACGCTGGGTTTTGATTTAAATGGTCGTGATAGTGGAATACGATATCAGGTAATTTTATTATTTTAGGTTGATTATGAGAAATGTCAATATTCTTTCCTATAACAACAGCTATGAGTGCAAACTTTCTAGTTTGTATTTAGATATAACATTTGGCATTTTTTTGATTGGTTGTGGTTACTTTTGGTGTATTTATTTTTGTATGCACCTCATACGTTTAGATGAATTTTCATGTTTATTAAGTAGTGTAAAACACTTTGGGTATTTACTCAATGTTTAAGATGTTATTCAACAAGAATAATCCTGGTGTTTCGGCTAAAAAGTTAAAAAAAAAACTAGAAATTGATAAGCGATTGTTATCAATAGTTTCTCAAATTATTTTGCCAAATGTATTCAACTGAAATTTGTTTAAAAATTATCTAAATTTTACTTTCCATTAGCTATTTTTAAATTATACATTTATTTAAAAATGTACTTAAAATATCTGATTCCAAACATTTTTGTTTTCAATAAATTCAGGTTGAACCATCTACACGTTTATTTGCTGCTGTATTTTATCGACCTACTGTTAAAGAAGCTATTCATTTTGAATTTGGTCGACGAAATCGTTATACTTTGCCAATTACAGCAAGTATGCTTCGACCACCAAGATATACATCTACGGTGTTACCACATCGTTTAAGAGTTCAAGCATTGGAGGTATTTATTGAATAATAAATTTTATATATACATATCGTTAGATTTTTTAATAATTATTATTGGTGATCAGATTGCGGTCATGGTCATAATAATCTAGTGTTCATTAATCATTCAAAGAATAATCATTTATTAATTCGCTGTCATTTCATTATATCCTGTTCTAAATGAGAATATATATTTATTTGTAGTTTGCTACTGACAGAGAACTTGTAATTTATGTTGTATAAAGATATCCTAACAATAAATTACGTGTTCCAGAGGTTAGCCGTTCGCGCACACAACCGAAGGCCCCGGGTTCGAATCCTACGAGATTCAGGAGTCGTGAATGCGCACTGTTGATGAGTCCCATACCAGGACGAAACGGCCGTCCAGTACTTCCAGGTTTCTAATAGTGGTCTAACAATGATTGATTGATGATTTCAAATATGTAAAAACACTAATCTCCATAATTCTAATTGAAAATAATTTACCTACCTTTTTACCCTTCCCTTTTGTCTGTCTACTGTCATCGTTATCTAGGGATGTGCAGAAAATCTAGAAATATATTAATGAATAAAGCTGATATAATTTTTACTCTCTTTGATTTTGAAATAACTCGCATAGATGACGGAATAAAAATGAAATTTTTTTTTAAAACTTTTTTATGCATATACTTAAGTTGTAGAGTACAGTAGACGTTTGCATTTCACGCTCATCAGCATTATTTTTTTTCTTGCCTAGCGTGTTCATTGGGCTCGTGTTCCACCAAAAGCTATAAAAATGTACAGTATGAAGATAAGTGAACTACGAGGATGGGGTACTATCATTGAATATCCAGTCTCGGAAATTGCTGTTCGTTTACCAGAATCCGATAGATGTTTTATAGCGCTTGAATTAGAGGAAATGCCAGAATTATTAAAGTAAGTGACCTAAAAAAATATTATATTACTTATAAGTTACATGTTTTCTTTTTGTCATAGACTTATTATCAATGACTAATCGTTGTAAACAACAAAAATCTTAACATTACAGAAGTTTATTATAATTTAGCGAAAATTACAGAACAGCTTTATCCAGAGATCAAGTGAAAAGCACTAAGATTACAGTAAACTAACAAATGCATTTTTTCTGTACTTAAACCTATAAGTTAGGTCTGTCCGAAAATTTGTTTGTTCATTGAATACTTCCAGCTTGTAAATATTTTCAAAAAAAAATACGTAATTCTAAAAAAGATTGTACTACTTCACTCCGAGGACACTTTATTCACCTGAACCTTATTTAAACCAATTCATTTGACATAGAGATGAATAGTTGTTACCAGTAGAATCCATGATATACATTTTGTCCTGTCTGAGGTTCGTCAGCTGGAGATATTCAGTTAACTCTTAGTATTAATAAATTTTATTGAATGTTAAGAAAAATGGTATTATGTTACAAGAGTTTTAATAAGTATTAACAACATTTATTTGTGCACTTTTTAATTTATTCATCAAATACTTTATGATAAAATTGGTTGAGGATTTATAGTTGTTATATATTGATTCTATTCCACCAATATGTATTTTTAAAATAATTTTTCTGATTTTAAAAATCACTACACAGGTATCATTCTCACACACTGGAACTATATCGTGCTTTGTGCTGTCATGATAATCACAATGTTGCTCATTATTTAACTAATCATGTGGATGAATACCAATTGTTGCATGTTATGACAGCTTCAGGTAAGCGATCAAAGTGAATTGTTCTGACTGTATATGCATATGTATGCATTCAGAAAATCATTTCTCTCTTTGAGTTATTTATAGCTTTAATTTTGGTCTAGTCAGTCAAGTCGAGAAAATTCTTAGAGTTCTGTTCACTAAAAAAACATTTCACATAACTATAAGCCTGTATGTATGTATTTTACTGCGTATGTTTTTAAAACAAGTCACTGTATTATTTTCAATATTTTATTTTAATAAATAGATATGCCTGGACCATTACGTTCTGGTTTCATTGATTTAATGCTAGTTATGCATATAAGTAGTCATGTAAAATTAAAACAAGTCACCGGGAAAGAATTCATTGTACCAATGTTTAAAGTTGAAGCGAAGTCGAAAAAAGATATTTTCAATTTTGATGAACATACAGGTGAATTGGATGGTAAAGTAGGTGTGGAAGAAGGAGAAGATGAAGAAAATAATGAATATGATTTTGATCGAATACCAGCTGTTGAAGAACATATTAGTATTCGTCCAGAATTGAAAACTGATCCACATTTACTTGTGTAAGTTTATTGGTTAAAAATTTTTTTTATCTTCCATTATTCCATAACAAATACCTCTGAATGAATATTTTTAAATGACTAAGCTGAAAGATGGAGGTTTCGTGGAGATTGAGCAACTTAAAGATAGTTTACATCACTGAATTGCTTTTAGGTAAACAACCACTGAGAACTAGGGAGTACTGGTTAGTTATTTCACCCTAGTAAGTGACTTTGTATGTAGATTAACCTACCAGTGATCAAAATTGGAACCTCAAAAGCGTTAGGCGAATCTGTTATTCTTTGCTTACTGAGTTGTCATTAGGCGTTCCTCATTTGTAACCTTCACTCCTGAAATAGTTTAAGTCTACTGGTCAGATTCACATCAGAACTTCGAAAATTCTTCCTGAATTTATCTTGATTCTTGGTACGCTTGTGGATAAAAGTATGATAAATATGTAACGTATCTAAAAAATTTTATCAGTTAATCAAAATATTCATCCGATCTATAAATTAAATTAGTCTAAACATGTTTTGTTGAATGTTTTTTATGCTACTGAACTTTGTTTTCATTACGATCTCGTTATCCTTAAATTCTCCAAAAGTTGACTGAACAGCATTCAATTTCGTTATCACTTATAAAAGTCTTTTTACATTCAGGGAATATTTTCATATTTTTAAACAAATTAAAAGTCATATCATTACACGTTTAAATGCATATCACAAATAGGCCACTGTTTTTCACATTAAATAGACTCCAAGGTCAAGAGTGGTAAGTGTTTTTTTTTGTCAGATGAAAACTGAACACTTCATCTGTTGTATATGAGATTGGCAAAACGTTTCAAGCTTATAGTTAAACAAACTGTGCACTCTGTTTTTTGAAGCTTAACAAGTGAATGATACATTTTATATGATGAGTTAGGTGATTGTATGGAAAGATTTCTTTGCATGATGTTTCTTATGGTGTATTGACTAAAACTAAAATTTAAACACAGAAAGCTTCATCCGCTTTAATGCTGCTATGTAGCTATTTGAAACCCTACCGATTAACCAAATTCCAATACGACCCTAAATACTGTTCCCAAATCTCCAATATATTAGAACACAACACCGTTAGATGAAGTTGTTATGGGGTCGAGTACAGAACGAAGGAAGGAATGAAAGGATCGTAAGCTTTACAGATCATGCGTATTTATACAGTTAAGTAAAACAGGAAACAGCACTGAAGTCTGTGACATTGTTAGTTAGAACGACCATTAGGAAACAACATTTGACGTGACACTGACAGTTTGGACGACCATAATGTTGACCAGTAGGAATTGACCAATAGAACTAGACTTCCAATAATAGTTCTCTTAGGATATTTGATGAACATCCTAACATCTTCAATTAACTTGTGCAATGATATTCGAATTACCAATCAGTAACATAACAAATTGGAAAGAGTACGTAATTAGTAAAGTATCCAAATAGGTAGGAATGTCTCCAGTTATCATTGAAATGCTTTTAACGGTCTGGGTTTCGTAGCATGGCTTTATTTATTATTTGCTTAATAATGCTTCATTATCTAAAATATCACCGTAAATTATCCGGTTCATGATTAAAATCCCTAACCGAGAACAATGCGCAGAGTCTTAAAAGTCAATTTAGGTATGTATAAAGGTTCAATGAGACAGATAATCTATGTTCATATGTATGAATTTATATGTGATTATTTCCAATTTAATAGATTTATTAAGTACGTGAAATCATGTTTACACTTTGTAATATTAGTGCTTTCATTCTTTTACACTATTCATCTACAAGATCTGTTTTCTGATTGTCTGTGAACTGGTTGACAGTTTGTTGTGGTTGTTTTAATCTTATCTGTATATGCTCCCACCGATATTTTGATTATTCAATAACTCCAACTATTTTTAAAACAAAGCTTGATATTGTTTAGCAATAGAATCTAGAATGTTCATTTTTGCCTATTTAAAACTGGTTAGCCTGTTACTCCTGTGTTAGCATTCACACCGATACCCGAAACTAGCATCTTTCGCTTAAGTTAGCTTCTTACATTTGATTTATGCTATTATGAAGTGACTGGATGAAAATAACAGCTTTAATCAAGTTGTTTTATACAGAAATGGGCTTAGCAAAACACTTTTTACTTGAAATTAAGTATATGTATGTGTACCTTGTCTGATAAGTACTCATCATTATAATTTGTTTACCTGTTTAGGATAAAAAGTTACATGGGTACAGTTTGATGACACCGACCAAATCAATTTATCGATTATTTATAACGATAATGTAACTCACATAACTCATTAGAATAAATGTAATGTAGAAATTGGTGTTAGAATAACTTTATTAAGAGTGATAGTAAAAAGAATAATTAAGAATAACAGAATGATAATTTAAACAAAACATGAAAAAAAAACTACATACAACAATAAGTAATAAACTCAATTAGTACGAAATAAGTTGACCATCAATTTAAATATTAAAGGGAGAAATTCAAAGGGGGAGATATAAGGTACGATGATGACTAAACAAAGAATGAAAGAATTTTTGTTAGATCTTTGCTGACCAACCATGTTGTCAGCTTTTTTTTAATGCATAACCTATGATCCCTGTAAATGGGATTAAATGTTAGATTTGAAATCAAACATATTTAAAAAGAAACCGTACAGCTATTTGATAAATCACTCTGAATGGTTTATTGAAATCTGTTGTTTTATAAGTGCATTTCAAAACAAATTATGTTCTTACTTCACTCAATGAAAAATAATCTTTAATTCACAGTAACTTGGATATTCGTGAAGTTGAACTTAAGTAGTGACATTCCTAAGAAGAAAATTAGATTTACACTGAAAATGAATTGAAAATACGCTACAGTAGTTCGATGATTAATTTAATAGCTATGGAAAACATCAGTATTTTTAAAATACTTTAAAATTTCGTTTATGACGATAAGAGTATGTATTATACTCTATATCCTTCCTTTTTGTAAACAATAAACATGAGGTTCATTACCAAGGTACTTCTTGTACATTGATTATAAAAAATAAAATATCTAAATTCTATTTAAAACACTTGATGTTTTACTTTTATGCTCGTCAGCTGATATACTTAAGCTATTACGAGTTCACCTTAGCTGCCAAACAATATCTATGTCAAAGATCCACTGACACGATAAGCTACTCTAATCTGAGCGTCCCAAGCACCCACTAAGGGTATCAAAAATTTTTGATATGGCTTAGAAAGCACTCATAAAATATGAGGTTTTGTACAGAAGAAGAATAAGAAGCGGACCATAAACCTTTACAGACGATACATTTTTACACAGTTAGGCCGACCGTGATTACTAACCAATAGGAAACAACATTTAAAAGTATATGAACTTAATAATTTACGATGACCTTAAAAATTAACCAACAGAATTAGACTAACAAAATAATTTCTTTAGGATATTTGATGAATATCCTAACAGATTCTTCTTAGAGAGATAAAACTACTTTATCTAACTGCAACCACAGATATCACAGTGCACAGATAGCTTTTTTATTAACTTGAGAAAATAAAAAAAGCAATGATTTTAATAGAATAACGTGAATTTGTTTTATTTCATCACAGTTCTGATCAAATTTCTTACAATTAGTGAAAGCGAAAGTGGTTGTCAGCATAGTGTTATTGAATTTTTGTTGGCCATCAGTTAACGACTGAAAAAGGCCCTTTGGGATTCACGAAGATTCGATAAAATATTTATATTCATGGAGATATTGTAAAATTCACCTAATTAAGTAATTAGTTAAATCAATGGTAGTTGATGATTTTACTAGGTATAAACTATGTACAATTCTGTAAGTCAAGCAAAATCATGAGATTAAAATCCGCAGTTTTTAGAGCTGAGAAATTATAGAACCAAATACTGAAAACATTTTAAAGTGTTCCGTTATCAAGAAAAACAACATTCTTCAAGTACTTAGTGTTTGATGGCTACATCCTGTCAGCTATTTCAGGTAGTTTCGGACCAGTTCACTCTTTAAGTCCCTAGAAAAACTTACCAAAAGTCAGAAGTTCAGTTGCATCGAAAAATGTTCAAACAGTAATGTGACTGCTTCAACAGATTCACAAAATTTGTCTTATGATGTTAAATAATCTTAAATTCTCTGAGATGAAATTCTTAACAAACAGATTAATCACCTCTACTTCAATTAGTTTTTTTATCATAGGTCTATACTAACTTTGTACTCAAAAGAAGCTTGTACTTTGTCTGATTTCACTCTTTCAAAAAATATTCAAACGATTTTCTAGCAACATTCATTTTTATGTTCTTACATATTCCCAGTGTATGTTTCTTGATTCTTACACAATCGTTGCTAATTAACTTTTTATTAAAATAAGTGTGTAATGTAGAGCAACTGCATGATCAACTGTTTTTAATTTTTATCAATCATTATTTTGCTTATTATAATCTTCCTTCTTCCAGTTATTCAGGTAGTTATTTCATGTTAAATTTATAATTCATTTGAAATTCAATAATTATTATGTCACACCATTGCTTGATCAGTATTATTTTATTGTTGCAATTTTCTCAAGTTGAGATGATATTTTATCTTTACTTGTTATCGTTCTAATAACTTTAGATTGTTGAATAGACATTCATCAATTGTATATAGAAACACGTATTGTAAACTAAACTCGACCTTCTAACCTTTTATCTTAGTGTATTTGTATCAACTAAATCTGGGTCATTCACATAGTGTAATCGGATTACCACAATCAGTAAGAGTTAATTTGTGATAATTTGATTGCATAGAATTCTATCATTCAGTTTACTTTATCTAACTTTTTTATGCTGATTTATTAATGACTTACAATTAAAAAGATTCTCTGTATTGAAGATTGTTCAAATCCATAAGTTGTACAAAAGGTGATTCTCTTTGAATCGAAGACTAGATATATAGTTTATAAAATATCAAAAGGTTTTCTTTTTATCTTAATTAGTACATTTCAATAATACAGATGTTAGTCTCCAAGACGTAACTTTGATCTGTCAGATCATTGATATGATACTGGAGGAAAGATACCTACAAATGTTGAATAAACAAAATTAAAGTTGCAAAATAAAATTCACAAGATTTAAATCAGTGCACATCAACGACTGCTGCACCTCGCAGGAGTCGTGGATGCGCAGTGTTGATGAGTCCCATACCTGGACGAAACGGCAGTCCAGTGCTTCCAGGTTTCTAATGATTGTCTAACATTGACCGATTCATGATTTCAAATATGTAACTAACTAATCTTCACAACCCTGTAATGTAATTACCTGTGCTCACAAGTGACTAGCTCTGTGAGGACTTTTCTCCGAGTTCTAGTGGGAAGTCGTAACCATTGAAGTTCAACCTGTTCAGGTGTAGACAGTAACTACCGGAAACAGTGTTTGGGGTTGTACAAAACCGTGAATCGATAGAATTTAGAAAATGCTTAGTTAAAATTTGGTACGTTTTTCTATTTACTGAGTGTTTATAGACCAAAGGTTACAACTACCATTGTTTTCTACATTTTCAGTCAGTTACTACAATAATATAATCATAATTATTCGATGTATATAATTTGTAACGGATTACACACTTAAGCTCCAATTAGTATTTAAATCAATGTATAAATGAATTTAACGGACTATTTTGCTTATTGTTTTTTTTAAATTCAATAAACTGTCACAAAGCATGTCTATTGAAGCTATATCTATGGAAAAAAAATACTTTTTATTCTTGTTTGCATTCATAAGTTCCCGATTTCATTTTTTTAAAAAGATATTTTTTTCTGGATTCACAAAATAGAATGTTTGTTTTATCTATTTTTCAACTTTAATCATTTTGTTATTTATTCAACATTTTTTATCAATCAATTCATCCATATTACGGATAGTTTCATTAACAATTCACAACTCATTATCATCATTATTATTATCATTTTAACCGTTAGAAAAATATTTAATGACAGTTTTAAAGTTCACAAAATAATGGAGTTGATCTATTGACTTATTGAATTATGTTGTCTTAATGATTATTTTACTCTCTTAACAAACTGAATAGTACAAATGTTCTATGATAAATACTTTATGTGACTGACAATCTAGAGAAGAAATTTGTAAAGGTATCAACTATTTTCAAATCATTTTAATGTCCAATTTAGTATATCACCCATTATATTAAAATTGTTTTAATCAAGTCATGTATCAAATTTATGTTGTTCAGTTTGAAGCCATACAATTTTTATGAGTAAGTACTCTTAGCACTTATCAAATCAAAGTAGATGGGACAAATTCTGAATTGATAATGATTAGTTTTATGATAAAATTATTGTTTATAACTTTACATAAACCAACTTCATCAAAAATACAACTTTTAATATAGTTGAACTTGATTTAGCAATCGTTTATAAATCGTAAATACATCAGGTTGATCATATATATAAATAAATATATGCATACATATTACAACGAATTTATGGAACATTTTGCATTACATTTCTTTATATTTTTCATCCTACTTTAATAGTCCTGGAGCAGATGGAACTGGTAATTTACCTGTTGCATTACCAGAAAAAACAAAAGAAGACAATAATGCAATGTCAGCAGCATTAACTCTGGCTGGTTCAAATGGTTTATTGAAATTATCCGATTGTCCACCATTTCCATTAAATAAATTAAAATTAATCTGTTTAGATTGTTTAGTTGATAGTGTATATAAAGGTGGAAGTATACGTGATCCAGCTGGTGGAAGTTATGAACATTTATTATTGTAAGTAATAAATAATTTTTTTTCAGATTAATGTTTTTGCACATTGAAATTAATTAATTAATCATTGTTAGACCACCATTAGAAATCTGAGGTTGTGCAAAATCTGTAAATTGATCAGAATTAGACATTAACACCGTTAGATGCTGACCCAGTGGTTCAGAGGTTAGCCGTTCACGCGCTCCAGAACGAAGGTCCTGGGTTCGAACCGTGGGAGGTGCAGGAGTTGTGCATGTGCCCTGCTGATGAGTCCCATACCAAGACATGATGACCGTCCAGTGCTTGCAGGTTTCAAATGGTGGTCTAATAATGATTGACTGATGATTTCAATGTGTAATAAACAATTGTTATAAAATTAAATATAGATTATTTTATTGTTATATGTCCCATAATCAATCACTAATGTTGATCAATTCGTGTTTTATTCCTTTAATTTGTTATCTTTGACTAATCGTTTCTCAATTGATTGGTGATATAACGTTGGTTGAGTATTATTAAAATTAATTTCTTGATAATATATATTCAAACATTCGGCTAGTAGTTTTGTGTTTTGATGAACAATTGATTTTAAGATTTATGAACCAAATACGTGAATATTTTATCAGTTCGCTGATTGAGTTAATTTTAATAGTTTGTTAAACTGTTTATTCAATCATAAGAATAAATTGTACTTTTATTCAAAGATTAAATTTTCCATCAATATTGCTTTACTGGTTGATTGTTAGTACCAATATTAATAATCATATCGAGCATACTACTTACAGTTAATCCAGCAATGCCATTAAGTAGTAAATTCTTATTTCACCTTGAATTATGAAATGGTGATAACTGTCTACAAAATTCCATTTCATGCTTTAAAGGTGTAAATCTGATGGCTTATTCTAGATAATCAATTAACAGCCAATTTAAGTGGTTTCTTTTTATCTGTCACTTCAAAACTTATTTCCCAAAGTATAAATAATGAGTCCTGTTCTAAAACGATCTTCAGATGGACAGAAAGAAATAGAAACTTAAATGTCGGATAGAGATATGTACTGAAAACAATAAGATCAATTTTTTCATACATTTATCAGAATCATAATTTGGAAGTATTTTTAATTGGTTCATACCAAACTAACGATGATATTCTCGTAAATAAAACTTCTGTTGAATTTTTAGACCATTAGTGAAAACAATCAACAGTCTACTTGTTATGGGTATACTTGATCAGAAAGATATCCATACTCTGTTGGCTATTTTGGATCCTAAATCATTTAAAGCATCATTACCATTAAGAGGTTAGTATATATGTAATTTATGTTTATTTTTCTAGGTGTTGGCTTACTATAAGTTAGTTAGTGAGTAGCATGAGCAATAGTCAGTGAATACTATAAATATGATCAGTATATGACTCTATTATCATTAAGTGTCATTCAGGTAGTAATGATTTAGTAGGTGATGAGATTTCACTGTGATATCAGCCTAATCAAGTAGAAATGGTCTACAGTTGTGTGAAAAATGAGACATATCTTCTATACTATATCGATTTCATTTAGTTGGTTTAAGCACTGGGCATTGGACAAAACTATACAATATTTATGCAATGTGTACACCGAGTCTTCACTTACGAATTTGCATATTATTGTGTGTTCTGCAACCGAAGTTGGTTCTGGCGTGTCTTCTTCTGATCTCTAAAGTATTCCGAACACGCCGTGCTACTGACCTCCCGAAACTCTTGTCTTCAGTTGTCGACTGTAGTAACCTCCACACGACGCTCTGCTTCATATAATTTATGGGTAATCTTGAGAGTAGTATCCACTGTGGTGGAGTTTCGTTCTCTGAGCTGGATGTTTTGGTTGTGGAGCTCTCATTGTTCTTCTGAACAACATCATCAGCGCAAACTTGAGATAGAAGTGAAGTATTCGAATTTCTTCACGATTGTCATATAGATTTATAATTTACATTACTATGTTTATTAATGATCTGATAATTGTTTCTTAACATTTTAAGGTGATTCAGCATATGAAAGTCTACTTGAATTCCATTTACCGGAGAGTGTTAAACTAGAAATATGCCGTCTGTTGCATAATTTATGTGATTTACAATTACGTAACCGAGTGGAACAAGTTGTCAAATTTGCCAGTAAATTTGTACAGTCTTTACAAGAAGTAAGCTTATTAGTTTGTATATTTTAAAGGAAAATTGTGTTGTGAAAATCATTTCAGGAAGTACACTGGTTTACGGGTATGGTCAAGTTAATACAGAAAAGAATGTAATATGCATAGAACAGAGATTTAAGCGTTGATCGTTTAGAAAGACATAGTTTATTGGATATTTGTCACAGGGATTATAACAATATAAAGAACTAGATGGGAACCTGTAATTTCTTATAATATGACGTGAATTGTTATTTACAAAAATGAATGATGTATTAAAGAGTGATTACAATGCTATCAAAGAGAACTTATAATTATTTATAACTATGAAGAAGAAAAGGAAAACAGATAGCACGGAGTAACAACAGTAAAAATAGAGTCTTAATATACTGTAATATATGTACTGGATTGCTTGTGATCTACCTATTTGGATAGATTTTATGCAAATTAGTCAGAATAACAAGAGTTAATGTAAGCGTAAAATATAGATAATAAGCCAGATGTCAACTATTGGTTTTCAATGACAGTTGACGTATCTGAGAAAACTGCACTCATGTTAGTAAAGAGTAGACAATTCATTGTTTGTAAGTAAAATTGTTAGTGCTTTCACAATTCTAGTATTCCACACATTACTTATTTTGTTTTTTTTTTGTTTAGGATCAAAACTCTAGGTATATGGCTATCAAGAAATCCAATCTACCTTCATCTGTAGCAGCTCGAAGAACAAGGGAATTTCGATGTCCTGCTTCAGTACAAATGAAAAGTCTTCTCCAAATTCATGGTCCAGGTGGACCAACAGGTCGTTTACAAGAGGCACAAACAGAACCATCAGCTAATGAGCCAGGTTCTGGAGAGGAAGTAGAAGATGATGAATTAGAAGGTGTTGAAACTAATCCCTGCTCGGAGGAAGTTAAGGTACACATATCTTCGATTTCTGTCTAATTTGATTTTTTGACCCCTCAGATGTTTAGTTATGCATTTAATCTACTAGAGGGAAAATAGATTTAAAATTGGTTCGAATAGCAAACTATCTGTAAAGTGAAACTATTTAAATTAAGTTATGTCTTGGAAGAACGTGAAAAACAGAAGATTCAGATAAACTATTTATAAGGTGTCACCATAACCTTAAGTTGTTTAGAAATCTGAAATATTTGATTGGTATAATCAGCTTTCCTTAAGAAATATTTAAATTCAACTAGAAATTTGCTGAAATTATAAACCCTATACTTGTTGTTGTATGTCACTTTATACCGTACAAATGATTTATTTATTTTGAATGCCACTTAAATCATTTCGGGTTATACATATCACCACAAGATAACTGATAGAACCATGAATCTCATTTATATGGGTTTAATGTCTAGTAAACTTATAATTCAGATGAAGTTCAATTATTTACTATTAGGAATTTACACTATTTATAACTAAAACATTCATTACGCTCAACGAAAATAATATTTCATAGTTGTTTTACTGAGAGCGACTAGGTTTGGAATTTGCTAACGTTTCTAGTGTTGAGTTAATTATTTCAATAATAGGAGTACATTACATCATGTAAAGATCATTGGTTTAATATATATTAAGTCATATTATAATAGGAGTTTGTTCAGGTTGGAAATTACTTTAAAAAAAATAAATTATCTCAGTTTTAAACTTTCGGATACAATACTGTTTGACAAATACAATCGATTACAGTTACAATTATTACAATGAACTACACATATCCGCATTTTTTGATTGTTCTATATTATTTTTTTTAATTTTCTCTAGGAAATGCTTCGAAGTTTTCACAGGCTACTTTGTAATAAATTAGGTGTTATGTTACCAGAAACTAATGAAAATAACACTGGAAATAAATTAGATACTGATTTATCAATGAATAGTGGATTTGATGACTCACTTCTACATCCACCATTATTAACACAACCATCGGATACACTTAGTTTAGCATCATTCGGTACACCTTATCCATCTTATGAATTACAAACTGCTTTAGCTCATCTTCCATTAGTTCCACCTGATATGGGTCATCCAGAAGAAGGTTCAGGTACACCACCATGGATTTTTAAATTATTATGGAATATGATGATTAATAAACCAATGACAAATGGTTCGATTATTGAAATGAATGAAAGAAATAAACAGACATCCGTCACTCAATTTTGTCATTCAGGAAAACGTAAGTCGTCTATTCATCAAATATACTATAATAATTACAATTGTAAGTTAATATATGGTTTTTCTTTGACTTTATAAACAAACTTGTTATAGCTGGTTTCGCATGCATTCGATAACAGCTGATTAGAACACTGTGTAATTCGTTTAGTTTGTCTGACTGAAAAACTTTAGGTAGAAAAATGGCCGATAATTAATTATTGAATGAATTTCACTCATAATTCAAAGGGTATCAGTAAATTTTAAAAAATTTGATTCCACCAAGCAATTTGTTGTTACTTTACTTATCTTAAAATAAATGGAATAACTATTTCAATATTAATATTTAACTAGGCACTTCTAACTGCTATGATAAGAATACTTTCTAGAAAAGAAAGTAATATACAACAGGAAAATTTGCCATTCAACTATAAACTAAACGTTATAAATATTTTGATTGTGTTGTACTGGCCTATTTTTCGATCGTTTTTTTGCTATCCTCCATGAAATCTGTAAGAAGCAAATGACAAAAAACTGTTAGGACCTCTAACAGAAGCAGAAAAGGGTTGAAAATGAGCTGTCCAAATATGTGTATAAAAAAATAATCAATTTTCAAAAAGATTCACCAAAGATTTCGATGAATAAACTAAAAATAATTAATCACAAATTGTATTTAGGACATTAAAAACCCACCGATGGCAATAAGTGAGGTCATGCAATGCTGTGGATTGATCGAAGTTAAACACTGACATAAATGGATGCCGGCTCAGTGGTCTAGAAGTTAAGCGTTCGATTTCAGCATGTGCGGCTCGTGGATACGCGCTCCTTATGAATCCCATACTAGGACAAAACGGCCTCCATTGTTTCCAGGTTTTTAATAGTGGTCTAACGGTGATTGGTTCATCATTTCAATGAAAAAATATATATCCACATATTTGTCAATATCTGAGCGATTGAGGTAAAATATAACTATATTGTTTCACTTGATACATTGAGCTAATCAAACGTAAGCTGAACAATCAGTGAAAAACGCGGATGGGATATTGACCTACATTTTTGAATATGTTGGGCATATATCTCCATTCGATTTAACCAACAAAAGTTTCCTTTTCTTGGTTTTGTCACTCAAATCGCTTTTTAACTCGCGAGTAGAAAGCTTATACGCAAATAACAGATCCAGATGACTACACAACAATATTATTTAGCAGTCTGATCCCAGTTCTTGAAGAGAAATGAAGTTATAGTGTATAAAATGATATCTTAAAACCGCTACATCCAGTAAACAATTTTCCAGTCGTACTGAGTTGTTAAACATAATTTATTGTGTCTTTACACTTACAGTTGGCTAAACAGTAGGATGTACGTCGTTATTGACCATAATGATGATACTGACTAAGATACGTGAGTTTTAAACGGATATCGGACCAAATGCCAGTTTTTTCCTTCAATTTTTTTAATCGTTATGTCACTAGTTGCGTTCTCTATCAACTTGGTTTTGTATACGTTTGAAAAAAACTTTATTACAGAATAGAATCTATTTTGGTGTTGTCGATTACATTTCATTTCGATATCAAGTGCAATGTTAACGTTTCTAGGTGTTTTCTTGTATATATATGAAATATTTTTTGATTCAAATATGTCTATTCACTGGTTTATATTTAAAACTGCAATGTGCACATCACTTAGTACTGTATTTTTAAAAAATATGTATGCATATTTATTTTCAGGTTCACTGGATGGATTAATCGTGTATACGATAGTTAAATGGGCTAAAGAAGGTTTCATTGAAAGTTTAGAACTGATCAGAGAAATGTTTTCTGCACTTCATCGTCAATACAATGCGACTGAAGAAGTAAAGTTATTTAATTAATTCTGCTTTCAAGTTAATACGGACGTTTTGGATAGTTTTATATTTCAGTTAAAAAACTTTGTAGGACTACCATTAAAAACTGGAAAGTAATCTAGGACTGTATCACTGTAACAGTGAGAAATTCATCATCGGTGATATTTGATGGGTGTGAACTGATTTAAGTTAGAAATACTAGTCATCAAACTTCAGCTAAATAGACTAATTGTTTGGCTTTGACTATGAGGCCTATATAGATTTATATATGTCTTGGATCAAATGCAACAGTTCAGAACTGGTACACAACATTTCGGAAAACAGAGTTTCTTTTCTAAACTGTCTGTGTTTTACTCAAAATAAATAAATACTGTTTATGATTTAATACCATGATATTATAAAGCTACCGAAAGGTGGAAAAAACCAGTGATTATTGAGGTAATTCAAAAGTAGTTTGTTTGCTAAACTTTGATTACTTCACGATCACAGACGAATTTGAATCGAGCCAGTATATTTTTGACTATACCCTCAATACATATGTTGTTAAACTTGAACGAAGTGGTTATTTCAGATTTATTATTATTATTATTATTATTATTGGCACTGATATAACATTCCTCGGTCAGTGAAACTGTTATCGTCGCTAACGTGATTATCATCTAATGACCAAGAGTTATGATGAAGAAGATAACTAAGTTTCTCACATAAAATAGTTTTATAAATTTTATTACATTATAGTTCTTATTATTTTATCTAAAATTCATTGACACATATTATATACATTTTAGCTAAGAAATGCACTTGAAAAAACTTATGTCATTAGTGGTTCATCACAAGATGAAGTATCTCGTCTATTACGTTCACTTGGACGTGTAAGAAGTTTACTCGGTGTTCAGTTAGGATCAAATGAAGAAATTCTATTGAAGAATTGTTTATGGTAAATTTGATTGATTCCTTAATTTATGATAATTTTTTTTAATTATTCAGTGTGTATTTAAATATTTTTTTCATCATACTATTAAGAAATTTATTTGTTTACTAAATCTCCATAATACCAAACTAATAATGGTTATGATTATTATTATTATTATTATATGAACAAACGATACATTTTTGAAATTTTCAGAAGTCCCTACATTTATGAGTCTGTATTAACTATCAGAATGGATAGGTATGTTTAAGTTTTGGTATTTTAGTAAAAATAAATTTGTTATCATAGAGGTTAAGTAGAAGTCATGTAAAATAAACAATAAAAACAACTAATGGGAATCTTAAAACAACAGTATACAAGACAGTAAAAATCAACATGGTAACCTTCAAAAAGAGGATTTAATAAAGCAGTCAAATACTGTTGTAATTTCTTTGTACTTTGTATCATCTGTTGCTGGATTTTTTGGACAAACTATTTGGTTTTCAATAAATGTAAACTCTATCCTTTTTTTAAATGTGGAGAATTCCAATTAATTCGAATGAGCAAAACCAGTGCGTTGGCTAATGCCTTAATACCATTTATCCATCTAGTTGTTGTTTCAAGATCTTCCACAATGGAACCGTTGGTATGTGACACTATAGAGTTTGAGAAAACGAGTAGTGTGGTCTGCAAATCTTCCTAATCCTCTAATTCAGTTGTTTTAAAAGTAATATGTGAAGACTCTTCATCCTCTACATATAATGGTGACTGTGTTCAGTTGTTAATTGTTACCAACTGACAGATGAGCAAAATAGATTTTTCTTTATCGTACTTTGTTTTTGGGTGTTGACTGATTGCTGCAACCTCTGCTATGTACATTAGCTTCAAGGGAATAAGCGGCTTTGTTATTCTAAATTTGGATATTATAGTTGAAATATCGGTAAGGCTATATATTTGTGGTTATTGATGATATCTGATCAGCTTAAAATTTGATGCACTTTTATCAGTTTATTGAAGATGTACACATCAAGTGCATTATAATACTGGATTTACTACATAAGTTATGTAAGTAAACAAAGATGGTGATTTCTTAAATCTTCCATCAGAATACTTACCAGGAACCTACATCAAAAACTTCACTTAGAGTTTTAAAAAAAAGAATAAACTTCATTTTTCACCCTATTCACAATTATGCACCAGAAAGTTTCTACCTATCTTAGTTGCCTTGCATTCAAACTATGGGGTTAGTGCTTCTAACGAATTGGGAATTTACAATGGCGACTTACTGTCATATCAAGTAATCCCAATAATCTGTTGTGTTCGAAAGCAGTTGGATTTTGGCTGATGCTACGTGAGAAAAACTAGTAGATACTATAGCTATAATTTCAATTATCACTTTTGTTTATGATTACTCCTGATTACTCTTTTCATATGATAGCTCCCTCTACACCTCATTGTTCTACATTCTGTATATCTCAAAATCTTATCTGAAGGTGTAGTAATTCAGCACCTTTGTTACCTTTTATGTATTCTAATTGTAATATAGCATTGAAAGATATAAGCTGGAATAAAGTTCATTGCATATAGTTAGTTTTCATACAGTTTTGAATGCTATTTAAATAACTTAATTTAAACTGACTCGAAGTTAATTCATTCAATTTATGGTCACACTCAGACATCAATTAATTAATTGTAATACAGTTCCATATTTAAAGATTTTCTGCCACTTACAACTGTGCTAAATACTCAACTAAATCATTTTAGGACCAACAACTATTTGCTTTTCATTCAGTCACTTTTAATACTCGTCATTATAAATGAGCATTGTCTAAAGATTTACTCTTGATTTAATATACACAGTCATAATTTTATCTTATTATAAAATTACCCTTTTTCATGCTAACTGGTATTGATGTATTATGATGTCCTTTAGAGCTCTTTCTACTGTGAATCTGCCTTACTAATACTCGTCCTTTTGCATTCACTTTTATTAAATGTAAACTGGTAAAAATATAGTAAAATGACATGTTTACTTTCTAGCCAATGTCCAGCTTTGTTAAATTATGCAGTCAAACTTTGCTATTGATACATATTAAAAATAAACCCAACTTGAGATGGTAACTGGAGAGAGTTTTGTCTCTGATCAATCCAAAATTATCCACAATAGTTTAACTTGATAATCATTTTTTGGTTTACATCATTTCACTGAAAATCGCTTTCCTTTTTCTTCATCTTTTTATGTTACGCGCACAACTGCAACATCTGTAAAATAGGGATTTAATGAATAATAAAGTATTCTTTCAACATCCTGATTTAACACGTTGTTTAGCTGTACATGAAACAGTTATGCAATTAATGGTACAAACATTAACTAAAGCAACATTTGAACAACCTGGTGGAAATACCATTTCCAAAGATGCATTACATTCATCTAATCAAGCAGTAACAAATGATATAACAGTGACTAATATCACTGGTTCTTCATTACCTGTTCTACATGAAGAAGGTTAGTTAATCTTGTAATAATAATGAAAATGATAAAATAAATTATTTAATTTATACTTAATAATTATTATTTGTCATTTTTTTTAGCTAAGATGTTCATTGCTCCATAATTTTCGACGAATTACCACTCGAATTCACTTAATGGAGTAAACAGTATATTCAATCGTTTAAATAGATCACGAACTGTCAATCTAATGTACAGAGCGTTATCTATTCCTTAATACATAATTATTTAATCATTACTATTTCAGTAATTTCATCTTTAATGCAAGCAACGGAAATATAAAATGAACTGTGTAATAAATTGTACTCAGTTGTAGTATTTTTCTGAGCTTTTGTAATTGACGGCAATTTCTTTTCACAGAATTGTAAACTAATGAAGATATTTCTGTTGATTATGTATGAGTGGTCAAATACTGAAAGACAGTTTGATAATTCAAGTTTAGCGGACATGGGTTTTGGTCAATATGCGATTTTAAGGAATCGAAGTTAACGACAACTTTTCTTATGATGATGATCATATTGCAATATAGTATTCACTATCAACTTTAATGCTCTCATAGATCCTATAAATATTGTAATATGCCGATGTGAAATCATAAATTGATGAAACAAAACTTTATTAGGATTACAAACCAACTTAATTTATTCAACCAATGACAATCTGGAAGCACTGGATGACTGTTTTGTCTTATCATAACACACTTCAGTAGTGTACATTTGTGTGACTTTAAAGTCTTTTGGAAAGAGCTCAAGCTTTAGATCAATCATGATTAACTTGTACTGACAGGCCATCTTTGATTATTTTCTAAAGGTAACTACCTCACACTCAACTAATCATGGCTGCTCACAGGAACTTGAAAAATTTCCTCTCAACGTTAGTCACTAATGAATACGTGATATTCATCAGTATGGGATATTGCTAACTATTAATGACTTGTTCAACTATGTATAAGGAATATCCTAGTTTTTGATTTATTACTATTTATAAACTGTGCTACATTGTGACCTAGTATTTTACGTGGGAAATATAATTAAAAATGATAAAAGTACTTATGACTTACTATTTTTAGTGCTTTGACCGAAGGTTTGGTAACAACAGGGATTGACCTACCTAATTAACTGTTGAAAAAAAATGATATAATTGAGTTGATAAATTACCGTTAATGACTTAGTGGATATGATATAACCGCAATTTCCGATTGAATAATCTCTTCATCCGTTATATTTTCTTAATTGTTTTATAGGATTAAATTCGACCACAGGTCATGGAAGTCACCATCATCAACAACAGCAACAACAACAACAACGTGGTTCAGCTGGACCAACTGAAATGGTTGTTCAATGTTGTCGTTTTCTATGCTATTTTTGTCGTACATCAAGAGATAATCAAAAAGCTATGTTTGAACATCTTAGTTATATGTTAGAAAATTCATCTATGCTACTTGGTAAACAATGCAGATTTATTATTGTTTTTACAGAATTATGCATTGTTATGATTTTTTTTTAGATTGATAGAATTCCGTCATAAATTTCGATAGTTTAATGGTACTAAATGATAAGAAGGGATGAACTTTTAGCTCTAGCACAATGGAATAGGTTTGACATAATAGCTACTGTCTCTAATCTGTATCTAATTAAGTTTAAATGAAATATACCACGAGAATAAATTGATAATTGTATTACAATTATTATATATTGCATTACAGGGTTGTGAAGATTGTTAAGTTACACATTTGAAATCATGAATCGATCAATGTTAGACCACCATTAGAAACCTGGACTGGTATGGGACTCATCAGTGGCAGTGCGCATCCACGACTCCTGAACCTCGCAAGATTCTAATAGTGGTCTAACAATGATCGATTTTATGATTTCAAATGTGTAACTTACCAATCTTCACAACCCCGTAATGCAATTACATCCAGTCCAGTGTTTTCAGGTTTCTAATGGTGGTCTAACATTGATTGATTCATGATTTCAAATTATTATGTAACTGTCAACACTAAAGGAATAAGTGTTGTCCATGAAACAATAGAATTGGATAATAATTAAATAAAAATGAGTAATGTTCTTGATCTCAACTTTTGTCTTGGTTTTAACATTATTCTGTTGTTGGTCAATGAAATTATTATGCTTTAGTTGCTTGATCATGTTTCATAAGATTACACAATTATAGATATTGCAAAATGAATTTATCAGTTCATAAGAACAAACTAGTATAATCAATTTTTGCTAGATCGTTGAAAATGAATTTAATCGACACTAAGAAACTGGACGAAATCGTTTTTAAATCCAACTGACTATTTCCACCAAACGATTGAGATAGGCTTAAGAACCCATATCATATTAAGAGATTTGTCAACAAAAATCTTAATAATAATAGACAATATAAGCCATAAGGTTTACAAACACTAAATCGTCAATTGTTCTAGACGTTTATGACTCTTCAAGGCACAATTAATGAGGACCTGAATATTTCTGCAATAATACTAAGAGTGATGAGCAAAAACATGTATTCAGCTAGGTAACATCAAGTAGCTATGCTAGAATCCATAATTATAAGTAGAAAATCAATCTGTCCACTAGAAAACTGAACACTGATATATCCAATGAACACACGAAACGAGAACGTATCATGAACAGCTGTAAGAAAATACTATTGCATTAGTAAAATGCATTATATGTCAGGAATGCATTTAAATTCTTATAAACACCATAGAACAGAAACAGTTTACATTTTAAGAAATTGATCACAGTAAAATAAGCTGTTCATTTATTAACTATTATTGGTATAGACACAAAAAGATCGAAAAAGAAGAAAATGGGATTAGAAATCGAGAAAGCAAATTAATAATTACATCTTGTTACAACCAATCCATTTTCAGTAGTAGTATATTTTCAAAAATTTTCTCGACTATGAATACTTACAAAAATCTTCTCATTTTCATGCGCTAATCTTTCTCTTTCAAAGTATCGAAATGATCAGACCAACAATAATATTTAGTGCACATATCTTATCACGAAGTTATATTCTTGATGGTTTAGTCTTTGATTTTATTGGAAGTTGTGAAGCATACTAGATAATTTTGTAAATTTCATTTCTTTCATGTAGCAGAAATTACAGGGATGATTACAACTATTAAATACTTAGTTCTGACTTGAAACAAACTTGTTTCATAATCATCTACAAATTTTGTTAACAGTTAGTATCCCATTGTAATAACTCACTTCATTCTTTTTACTCGATCATTCAGTCAATTTAAAAGTACAATATGAAGATCAATATTTATTACTTGATAATGTAAATTTTTGAAATGAATAAAACTCATTAGTTAAGAGGTCACATTAGTTTCTCACATATTAGTTCTGTCATTAGTACTGACACTATCAGTTTGGCTTAGTATTTAGTACATAGTCCTACTTCAGTTTATTAATTCTTATAGTAAAATTGGTTTTTACACCATATGTTATCCTTGTTTTGGATATTCACTTCACCAGTCAATTAACAGGACTGATCGTTTTACAAAATGTAGTCAGGTATAAATCAATGATTCATTTCCTCGTATTTTTTTGTGAATGTTTGTAAACTATGAAGTGTAGGTTTCTGACTTTTATTTTATTCAATGGTCTTACCACTGCTTCAATGATATAATAGTCTTCCTTCATGTGAAACACTTACGTGAGTATTCTGATCCTACAAATTTAATAAGATATTAATTTTCTGTGAACAATATATTCATATAATAACTACTTTTCCAGAAATGTTTTTTCTGTGATATCAATAATAATTTATCTGTTGCGTCAAATTTAAATGAAAATTTGAGGTAGCATGTAATATGTGATACTCTTTTTAATTTTGCAGCTCGTCCCAGCCTTCGTGGTACATGCCCATTGGATGTAGCCTATTCTTCTCTGATGGATAATAATGAGCTGGCTTTGGCTTTACGTGAGAAACAACTAGAAAAGGTAGGAGAACATTAAACTTAATTGATAATGAGTGGATAGTATACTGTAGATGGATTGTTTCTAGCAGTGGAATCCAAAGTACATTTATTGTTGAACACAGGACCGGTCATCTGTGGTGAACACAAGATAAAAGCCTTACTTTTTATTTATCTAAAATCTGTCACTAAAATACATTCATGAAACATTTACTGAGGATGCATGTATGCTAACAAAGATAGATCAATTGTAGTCCTGAGCATTAGAAGCGGGAAAACGTGAAATCTTCTAAGTAGTTTAAGGTTTTTATGAAAATCAAATTTGAATTTATGTTGTAAAACCTTTACTTTGAAAATTTCAATTAGACAATTTAGACTAGACTCATTGTCCTTGAATAAGCAGTCATTTATTCAATTAAGTTTTTTGAATATATATATGTGTACATATTTACTTATAAAAACATATTTGTTAAGTTTTGACAACAGTATAGTAATCATTTTGATCACTAATTAAACATAGAGCGTTTTAAATAATAATATTTCATTAAAATCTGGCGTCGTTTCTCCCGGTTCTATCAGAAATCTTTCTCATTCAAATTTACAAATGAATATTAATAGATTTGTATGTGTTAATTCTCAAATGGTCTGTCAAGTTCCACACTACTTTAACAATTTAAAAGTCTATCTATTCCTTTTTAAAAACCTATATTCAATTAAGCGAATGTTTGTCTATTAAATCGTATATTTTAGGTTGCTGTCTACTTATCGCGGTGTGGTGTTCAGTCAAATGCTGAATTATTAGCAAAAGGTTATCCAGATATTGGATGGGATCCAGTGGAAGGAGAACGTTTTCTTGATTTCTTACGTTTCACTGTTTGGGTTAATGGTAAAAGTGTTTTTCTTTATTTGTTTTCAATTATTTTTGAATTATTTAATTACTTAAATACCTAAAATGAGACCAACTGTCAGATTGATTTTGTTATATAAGCAGTGATTATTGAATTTGGGAAACCTCTAGCCTTTTGGTTAACCATCACTCCTCCCACGCTTTTATTTCATTTCTCTGTAATATTGATTAACTGATGCTTTTCAGAATGTCCCATAATGAATTACGGTATATATATATATATATATATTTGCACTTAGAGCTATTTATCATCAAACAACATCTGTGAAATCGTTAAGAAGATCGAATAGCTCATTTATCACATTTCTAACTGTAGCACTGCGTGATGAAATTTTAAAACATAAATCTGTCTTGTTGTGGATGTAATATACACACCTTATTGCTGATAGTTTAAAAGCATCCAGCATTATAATAAGATTTCTTTCACTGCAGGCATGACTTGTAACTCATCGTTACTCAAAGAGATTTAAATTAGCAATTATACTGTAAGCACATATGACTATTCCATATAGTTCTGGTGATCGACAAATACACCAAAATCTCACAGCTTTGAATCATATGTGTCAGGGTTAGCCAACGCGTACACTACTTGGGTTATTTTGAGTGACTTACCTGCTTTAATCGAATTCCCATAATAAGTTTCTTAATGGATCCTGCCGTTTCTGAATGGTTTGTTTCAGACTATAGTTCATGTATAATGCACATATCCGCTTATTTATTATTCGTACCATCGATCTTAATTGAATGGATACCTTTCAACAATTAAAATATCGTTGAGATTTGAAGTATTTACTTAAACCTTAGTCTTTATCGATTATTTTACATTTTACATTTAAACAAGTAGATTCTTATTTATATGATAATAATAATAATAATAATAATAATAACGCAAAGTTTAGTGAAGTTTATAATGATCATAAATCATATCGTGCAACTTTAATTTCAGGTGAAACAGTTGAAGAAAATGCTAACTTAGTTGTTCGTCTATTGATTCGTCGACCAGAATGTTTAGGTCCAGCATTACGTGGTGGATCAAAAGTTATGAAACATTCTACTGGAAATACAGGAACAGACGGTTTAGAAGTACCACCAGGTGGTCCAGATCGATTAAATGCAGCAAGAGGATCAACTGGACAACTAATTAATGATTCAGATTTTCAACCTAATTTAGCTGGTGGTGGTCTTTTAAAAGCGATGAAAGAAGGTTTAGTAATGTCAGCTCAAATTAAACTAGTAAAAATGGCTCAAGAAGCTGAAGCAGCAGGTTTAAATCCAGAAGAAGAAGATTTGGGCTGGCGGACTGTTTTGATGGACTATGAAGATGCTAATTTATTTACACCACTCCCATATAATTTTGAATCAATGCCAGTAAGTAGAAAAAAATCACTCTAGTTTTTATGTATCAGGTTTAATTAATAAATATCTGATACAGTTTACCTACCAATACATGTCAGTTTACATACCCTGATTCACTGATGTTTCAAAGTTTCTCCGAAATCTGATAACTGAAACATGCATCACTGATTGATGGATTTCGATGATGATGATGATGATGATGATGATGATGAAGACTCAAGTCCCGATTTGATAATTTCCATAAGGAAATCCTTCAGCTGTTTGATAATCTGTATGGAACTCATAATTGTTCATTTTTACGTAAATAACCTTAGGAAATGATACTGGCCTTGTACACTACGAAAGACAGGTCGTTTTTTTACGAACTTTCTTCTCGTTCCGCAAAATCACCATCAATCCACCGTAGTAGTAGTGTCTTCAATGCACAAATTAGCTCTCATTTGTTTACAAAGTATTACTAACTATTGGGTAGTTTTTATCTGCTCAGATCATTCAGTAATTTGTGCTGTAAAACTAGTGTCTCCATACGATACCAAAAAAATCCATAAGAATATTCTCTATAAAATAAGCTGAAAATCAAATTATTCTTTAGTTGTTTTATGCTTTTATTTCATTTCCTCTTGCTCCAATATTCAGCCTGAAGATGATCCCGATTACATTGATCTTGGTGCTGCAATATTGACATTTCATTCAATTTTGGTCAATCTTTTGGGATTTTGTGCACCAGATATGGAAACTGTTAAAAGTGAATCAATACGTGCTAGATCAATTTTACAATCACTTGTTAGTATGGCTGATTTAGAAGGAGTTTTATCATTGAGATTTATACTGCCTCCACCAAAATTAGAAGTTCAAGTAAGCATGTTCACCTTTTTTGCTGAATGTTAAACAATGTTATATTTTGTATCATAAGAAGATTACATGCTTATTCCAGCAGTTTTGATCAGAGAAGTTGATAGAATATTTCGAGTTTTATAAAAGTAGATTTATTGAAAGCAGTTAGTCCCTTTTAAAAATTTTAAAAGAACAGTGAAACATGGAATTGATCTGGAAAATGTGATGTTCATTATATAGATATGGAGATCATTATTTTTCATCCGAAATCATGAATAGACCACGTTTAGAAACCCTAAAGCACTGGACGGCCGTTTCGTCCCTATTACGGGACTCATTGTGGATGCACTCTGCTGATGAGTCCCATACTAGAACAAAACGATCGTTCAATGCTTTCAGATTTCCAACGGTAGTCTAACAATGATCAACTGATAATTTCAAATGTGATGTATTTGCAGCATACAAGGGTTATATAACATGTGTCTAAATGGCTTCAAAACTGCACCGTTAGCAAGGCACACAGTTATGACGGGGCATAGAAATGACATCAATGCAGCTTCTATAACATTGTATAGACTTTGTCAAGGACAAATATTTAGGTTGGTTATTCGCATATTCAAACCCTTCTCATGTGTATCGAAACAATTTATCGCAACCTTATATTTGTCCCAATAACGTTTAAGTTCTGTCAATAGCCAACTCTATATTCTTTCCATAAAATGTTAATTTTCTCTCTCCTTTACGTACAATGATCAAATAACCAATACAAATAAATGAATGTTCATACGAAAATGTATTTATTTGACCTTTATTTCTATATGAAGTGCCTTGACAAGTATCATGTGACCAGATCGAAATGAAATTCATGTCAAGCGAGTACATACCATTTCAGTTTATAAACAGATTGCAACATTATTATCCTAGTCACTTATCATTGACATGACTCATAAGTTTTCAGAGAAATTTAGTAATATCCGTTCAATGAATTATCATTTGCATTATTCTGTTCAATATAATAGGTTCATATGACAAAACTGATTCGATGAATTCAGTCTAGAATAATTTAATTGATCATAGGTTAACCGTTTAGCATGTAATAAAATAATATTTCCAGGTGTAAATTTAGGGGAAAGAACTTCTGTTGAAATAAGTTTGAAATAATGAAACTGGTCATAAGTTGTACGTACTGATACTAGTTAAAGAACTACGGAAACTCATAGAAGATTTAATATTGATTCGACCATAGACTGGAATTGCACAGTAGTGACCAATTCTATCGTAAAATACTTTGAACTTCACTCCATTTGTGATATAAAACTACCTTATTCATCAATGTCTCAGGTGATTTACTTTTCAAAATCCATTGACTCTTTAGGTCACAAATGCTCACTTGATCTTTAGGAAGCTAAGTCTCTAAGTTAGTCACCAGCAGGAATGTGGATATTATTTACCAGGACTTTCAAACAGTAATCCATGTTTACCGTAAATTAAGTGTCTTGATTTTATGAATATATAGTACTGAGAACTCCAACACTGCATATTTCTTACCTATTTCCTAATCAATAATTTCTTTCAACATGAAATAAATGTACTGCATAGATAACATCAGTATCAACAACAAATGTGAAAATTTCAGAACAGGAAGCAACTTTTTTGTGAAATGTATATTACAAACTAAAATACATTTCAACACCTAACATGGACAACTTCAATGTTTTGATGTAACTCAAATCAGTCAAGTTTCACCAAGCAAAATCTTGGTTATATCAATAGAATATTTAGCTCTAAGATCCATCGATAAGTAAAGTATTACTTACAAATAATTTAGGGTTCATATTGATTATTATTTGCTTTGTTTCAGATAAGGTCTTCATAGGACATAATTTTGTATACTTCATTAGTGGTAACATCATGACACTTGGAGAGAAGAATTTGTCCGGGTAATTATTCTTATATTTTGATCTTTGAGGGGTATGAAGATTTATAACCTGATCTATATTTTATCATCTCTCTCCGTTTCCTATATTTTCACTGGCTTTCTTAGATTTCATCACTTAATTGACTTTTCTTATTTGGACCCCTGATTTTTACTTATATGATATATTTTATGTTGCTCATCTATTGTTGCTTGATAGACAAATGAAGATGGAGAAGATGAATGGGTTGATAAAGCTGGTATGCCACCTGGTCTATTGCCAGAACATAAAGCATCAGTAGTGTTATTTTTAGAACGAGTATATGGTATTTCAGATGCTGCAACATTTTTACGATTATTAGAAAATGGTTTTCTACCAGATTTACGTGCAGCTACATTACTTGATTCAGTAAGTTTTATTTAGGCTATCTATGATTAGGTGATAAAAGTTTTGAAATAATTGAATTTTCCTACTATTTTCAATTCATTTACGCGACTATATTGATTATTCTATGGAAAATTTGTATTTGTTTATTTGGACCAAACTCCAATTTTTATAACTAAAGTTGACTGAGATAGTTTAATAATCGTCAGTCGATTTATGATCATTTTTTTCAATCGTGTAGTTTCCTTTAATATCTAGCTAAAGTAAACGCTGGTACAGAATAAGTTCTCATCAGCTGCTTATAACCAATAGTCTTATTATAGAATTCGGCATACAAATACGAACGTAGTTAGAGATATGAGCACTTTGATGTAGCGAATATTCCATCAATGAAGTTCAAAAGGTCGATAAATGTGTTACAGATATTTAAAGTGTGATTGAGAAAGTCCAGTTATTCCTTGCACTTTAGTTATCCTAATTTGACCTTCTTAGTCAGCTGACTGGTGAAATATAGGTTGTTCATAATTCTTGTCATACATCTATGAATGTACAAAATAGAGAAGGATTTTGTTAATGATAATCATTATTTTGAAATTGATAGTCGTATTTGACGAAAAAGTAACAAATTTCTTACTGAATTGATACTCTTACAAAAATATGTCGAAAACTGTACTCACAAATGCATTTTATCACACATACGGATAAAGTTAACTGAATTCACTTTTCTCTACTTATTAATTTACGTGTGATTATTTTTACCGGAAGTATAATCATGTAATAAACTTGACAAATATCTATATTACATGGTTGCGAAGATTAGTAAGTTACACATTTGAAATCATGAATCGATCAATGTTAAACCACTATTAGAAACCTGAAAGCACTGGACGGCCGTTTCATCCTGGTATGGGACTCATCAGTGCTTCCAGGTTTCTATTAGTGGTCTAACAATGATCGATTCATGATTTCAAATGTTTAACTTACTAATCTTCACAACCCCGTAATGCAATTACCTGGGTTCACTAGTGACTAGATCCGTGAGGAATTTTCTCCGAGTTCTAGTGAGAAGTCGTGACCAGTGAAGTTCAACTTGTTCCAGTGTAGACAGTAACTATCGAAGATAGTATATAATTTTTTGCTTCAGTTGTTATTCTTCATACCTTGGTACTTGCAAAAAGTTTTAATATCTATTTTGAATGTTTATTCATTTTAAGCATATATTTTCTTTATGGTAGTTTTAAATGTACTACAAGTATTTTTATTTTACAATTTTTGTATGACATAATTGTTTCTTTGTTCTTCTTTGATTATTTTCATTTAGACTGTTGTACCAGATAGTGATATGGCTTTAGCATTAAATCGTTATTTATGCAACAGTGTTTTACCATTACTTACACGTCATACTAAATATCTTGGAGAAGAAGGTACAGCTGGTGGATTATTTGAAGCAACATTACAAACAGCATATCGTTTGTCTAAATGTCGATCGATTACTAATCATCAACGTGAAATTGTCTGTGACTTTTTAGTTGCTTTAATGCAACAAATCAAACCACCAATGATGTCAGCTTTATTAAAGAAAATGGTTTCTGATTTACGTACATTATCAAAAGAAGTAAGCCATATGTTTTTGCCACAATTTGATGACTGTATTCTAGCAAGTGTTCATCTTTAATTTAAATGATGTAAAATACTTAATAATATGGTTTATAAATAGCTGGCCCATAAGTGAACTTTGAGTTTAGTATGATATCAATCGTATATTGTTGCGCCCCTAAATGTCTGGTACATTAGAGAGAGTGGGGAGACTTTGCTCTTCCTCTCGAAATTAGTCATCAATGCACCCCATGGGTGGTGGTACAATAAAACTTTCAGAATACGAACCAATAGTAATGTAAATCGTATCTAAATTATGACTCCTTACGTGTCAGCTAGATCAAATCAAAATAAACTCATGTTGATTAGTTGAATAGATCAACACGGTTGGTTTAAATCTTTTTCTTGATTCAATTATCTGTCAGTTATCATGATAATTTATAGTTACACTATACCAGTATGTTAAGCCCCCATGACTTATTTCAGTTTTTGGACAAACTAATTAACCTTTTTTACCCGAGTTACCATTCTCATTTCTTTCGACCTTGTCAATTATTTACCTATAATTTTGGTTGCCTTTATTTGTGTGAGTTTGTGTGTGAGTACATTGCTTACTTCACTCATCACATGTCTAGTTTGTTGTTGTCTGACTGTAAGTACTTAATGATGTCTCATCACATTGAGTTGGCCCATTTGCCTTCCCCACATCATTTCGCTTCAGATTCACATTTCTCTTTATCGTCTGTCTGCTTACGCGACGTATGAAATAAATTCATCCAAAATAAACCGTGTTGGGCCTTTAAGTACTGCCGTCGTACAAACTGGGTTCGTTTAAGAACAATATACGGAAATTAGAGGAATGATATGTTCCATAGAATATTCGTTTAAATTGCAATCAAATCCCGAGCCGTAAAAAAATAGCTTTTATTTTAATGGTATTCTACCTGAATAATTGAACTAATCAAAGTCATTTTAAAAATATTACACTGCAACACTAAAGTCATTTTCTTATTTAAAAGATAAGAAATTAGACTATTCTTTTTACATTGATTGTAATATTTATTTAAATAGTCTTACCACTATACAAACTTGCTAATTTGCTATAGGATCTGTACCTAAATATAGATAGTCTGTTAAGAGAAAATCCTTGAATGTAACGTGAATACAAAATATTCTTCCATTACTTCAGCTTCATTCTACCTCGTTTGTTTAGTACTAGCCAAGTTAATTCTAACGATAAGCACTTATTCTTTTATCAAGTATGTTCATACTATGTGTTATTTCATTCCTCCCATTACTTACTTCTTTAGTCTGTCGTATCACTTCGAGCGTTGACAGAATTTTATCAACGTTGCGGAACTTACTATAGCTCAGATGGATGGACAGGTGGTGGACACGGCGCATCTGGAAATAGTGCAACATCAGCTGATGACGATTTTGGGTCCACCGGTCACGGAGGCGGTCATAGTGGTGGAGTTAGTGGTGGTGGTGGTAGTTCAGGAGGAGCTGATAACGTAGCTAGCCGTAGTGGTGACGGTGAAACATCAGCATCTGAAGAGGAACGTAGTATCACTGCTCATCTATTCATATTGATTTTTGAAAAATTATCTCGACAACCTTATGAACCGGAATTATTTTCTTATGCATTACCATGTCTATGTTCGATAGCATGTGCTTTACCACCGGATTATTCAATAAGTCAATTAAATGCTATGGATCAACAAGATGACAGTTTAGGGCAAAATGTCGGTCAATCTGTATTCACTAATCAAATGAGTAAGTTCGATTGTGTTTTGTTATCTTTGTAATTTTCATTTTGATGTAATGGAATAAAATGATAACATTATTTTAGACCAACTTATTTTCGTTTAACATAACAGATGTGGTCTTTCATCGATCGAATGTGACATATTTATTCCATTTATCAGTTCAGTTGAACTATATTTGATGTGCTTTTACAGTGACCTTCTGTATTTTAATGAGTGTATTTTACTCTGACGACGACGTGAATCTGAGCTTATTTTGAGGATAAATCTTCATTAAACCAGTTTTTTGCGTTCTTATTTTAAACCATGTGAATCATGTTTCCTCACTGTCAAATATAAGCAGTTAGACTACGAACACACCAAATCGGACACAGGCACAACGCATTTTCTTTTTACAAGTTAATGTATAACCGTTCTTGTAAACGAACTAATAAGATTTTTTGAAAATGAGTAGAAAGTGTTGCTGATTTGCGTACTTTTCATTACATACATTGATAATTAAGCTGTTATTAAGAACAGACAGCACTTACGTATCATGGGTAATATTTCATCAGGCTTTTCTCAATTTTATTTACATTTATTCTAGTTAAACTGATTAGAGAGTGACTGTAGCAGTAGTAGTAGTATTTTTAACCAAGTCATTACAGACTAGCATTGTGTTGCATTTGAATGCTAAGCTGGAGAAGTCAACAAACAATATGATTTTTATGAATAGATAAATAAATATTGAAATTGACCGTAAGAATGATATTTATTGTAGAGTTTTGGAGATTGTTGTTTTGGTCCAATGAAATCATGAATCAATGATTGTTGGACCACCTTTAGAAACCTGGGAGTACTGGACGACCATTTCACCCTAGTATGTGACTCTTCGGTGATGTGCACCCACGACCTCGCCCGCTGATGAGTCCCATGCGAAACGGCGTCCAGTACTTCCAGGTTTCTAATGATGGTCTAACAATCAGTGATTCATGATTTCAATCGATAATAAGAACAATTTTATTTAAAATTTAATTATGATTTTAATGTGCTTCAGTTACAAATATCTTACCCATGAAAATAATCAAATAAAGCGAGAACGATATTTACATAATACAGTTCATTCATTATATTTCATGGCTTCTTACCAGCTACAAATGGCATAAACTACTATACACCATAATCAATGGAGTTTTGTTAACTGGGTATCTTGATTACCATTCACTTTGGGATAATTTGTTTTTATTCAGTATCCCACCCTATTATGATGTCATCTTTAACATAAATATTGATCAATATTGACCATTATGTTAATCGTGTTGTTTTACTCTTGTTTCTTGTGTTGATTCCAACTGAACTCCATTGATTATGGTTTGTAATAGAGTATTTTAACAGTAATAGTGCCAATGTAAACTTAGGCAGTTTGTAGCTGATGAGAAGCCCTGAACTATAGTGCATTCATTTTATATTCTACAATTATTGTTCATCTCGCTTCGTTCTAAATTTAGGATAGAATCAGGCTGCAAGAAAATTGTATTATTATTATTATTATTATTATTATTATTATTAAAAGTAAATTATTATTCAGATTATTTACTGGGATGAAAGATTGACTTGAAAAATGTGAAAGAGTTATGATTTCATTTTGAGGACGATTCCTAATCTACCTTTAATAGAATCATTGTCATAATGGAAGAATTTAGGACTCGAGTCTTGCGGTTCTACCATTGAGACACTAGATACTAGGTCACACTATATGTAGGTCACGGTGTACATGGATACACTATATTTCTCCTTAGATAGTTAAGTTTTACTTTTACTGACATATCACTTACACAGTCACCATACGACTTAATTATCAAATTTATATTGAAAATTTCTACTGTATTAGTGTTAATGATGATCATATTAGTTCGAAATTCTTGGGCATTATACGTGAATAGATTATCTCTACGTTTCTTTATAATCCCCATGGTAATTAGATAAACAACCAGGTGACTCTACAAGTTTTGCGCTCATTTTCTTTTTACATCACTATTTGTACAGAGGAAAGTAAATGTTACTTACAGTTTGAGGTAGTTAATTAAAAAAAATAGCTCAAGGTACCAACATATTTGCAGAGTACCTCACGAGTCTTCAATAAGCTTATTTTGTTAACTACGTTGGTTTTAAAAAGTTCCAATTTGTATCCCTCATCATTTTTAATTATCCACTGAATATCAATAAGAGATTTCGGTTTTTCTTTTTCCTCTACCTTCACAGATTCTTTACTAGTTCCTGGAGCACCTAGACTGGAAGCAAATGATTCACCTGATGAACTAGTTCATCATGATGTCTTTCGACCTCAACCTATCGATACATCTCAGGTAATAGTTACCTTCTGTTTGTTGCATATATTAATCAAATTTAGTTTTTACACATTTATTTATGTGCAACTAGTATTTCATATCATTATAAGCTCAATGATAAAATGTCTTATAGAGTACATATTGAGTGGTTCCATTGATCCGTAAATTTAGTGAGTTACAACAATCATGTGGCAGGCCGAAATTTCAACACCAAACCAATGATGAAGTTATTGCAAGATGTGTAGCTCCAACTGATAATGTACGAAATATAAATACATAAAAATTTACTGAACGTTACTTATACTGTCAATTGAAAAAGTGTTCGGATTTCGGTTGCGTAATCTACAAATATAGATTATTCCAAATACGATACATCTAATCCATGATACAGTATATGAGAACTAATCGAGTAATAACAACACCGATGAAATCTATAAAAGTAGTTAACGATTGTATTAGAGATTTATTAACTTAACAGCTGATTAAATGAGAACATGGAGTGTATAGGAAGCAGTATATTTGTAAGCGATAGTCAATGTGTCATGCAAGCAAAGATCAAAATGGAAACAGAAAAGTTAAGGTTAAGTATAAATAATAATTTTTCAATCACTAACAGTCAATTTTAACCAACTGTTCAGTCATCTCACGCAATTAATATTACTTGTCAGTTGGGTTTATAATTATTTTAGCTGTTCATATTTTATAGCAGATAAGTGATTAATTAATTAATTAATGTTTAAAATAATGTCTATCAATAATTACATGAGTTTGTTAGAGGGAAACACCTTACTGCTGTTATACTCCTCTACAGTCAGCAGTACGACTTCGCCATTAGACAATGAGTAGCTGCTTTTAGTCTTACCATTCTTTAATCCACCATTGTGGTAATGTAGGACCTAAAGTAACGTGTGTCCCAGCCAATATAGCCAGGTCGGGTCAACACAATAGGTAAGCCCGATCATCATTTCAAGGTAGCAGCTACGTTTAGAGTGTATTAATGGCTGTCCTAGTTAGTCCTAATAGTAAATATAAATTCAGGAAAGTGAATAGACTGTTATGGTTGTGTTACAGGAAAGCAGACGAAAGAGATCAAAATATATATGTGTATCCTGATATATTGGCTACTTGATTACAATACCTATAGATTTATAACTTTATACCCTGAAGATGATGAAAGTATTAAAAACAGTAGGTCCGTTCAATTATCCTTCGTTGATTATTGTTTTCATCTTTTCTTTACATCAACTTCATTATTTCACTGAAAACAGTTTATTTTAAAATAAATACTCATACAATAATACTCTTCTTAACTAACATAATATTAGAATGACTAAACTAACATGACAGATATTATACTTATAGAACTGTATCTACAATCTCAACTTGAAACTACCTAACCACTAGGTACAGCTACAATTATGTACTATAAAAAGGTTTAAACTTGTTATGTATATATAAAAAATATCCGGTCTAAATATTATAAAATTTTTGTGACATGAGAAACAAACAATTATATTTGGTAGCGAAGATCACGAAACGACGAATAGTCTTCCACTCTTGCATATTATCAAAATCAAGAGATTGACCTAAAAATCATTACACTATCTAAATATTCAATCCTATTACTAGTTATATTGACATTTTGTTCATATTCTTGAAAATAATATAATATTCAAATATTTTGGCTAAATTTGCAATCTTTATGAACGAAAATGATCTTCTATTAATTGAATATGAATAACGGTAGGTTGAATCATATGCTCGTTTAAAAAAATGTGTACCATAATAGGCTTTATCGTAGTTTACACCAAGGACAATAATGGAAACTAGTAATTACTGAATAGCTGTTTCGTTCTAGTATAAGGCTCTTTCCAATGATTGAACCTAGGGTCGTCTGTTTAGCGGGCAAACTGGCATTCAATGATTTGATTTGGTCAGCTCACGAAATTATTCACTCATCTCCCACTTCCTGCTATGGATAACTGTCTCATATGGTTTTAACTAGAAACGTTACAGTTACGACACTAGATGGTTATCTCAAGAATTTATATTTAACTCACCACATTTATAACTTCGTTATAAGCAAGTTAATTGTGAATTTTATTTAGTTTGTGTTTATTTAATTCCATTCTGTCTGTTTTATTCCTAGGTTCGTCTTCCAGCAGCATTGAATGGTTTAATTCAAAGATTTGCTGAACATTGCCATGATTCATGGGCTTTAGATTTAATTGAACAAGGTTATACATTCGGTACACAAGTTGATGAAGTTCGAAGAACACATCCAAATTTACGCTCTTTCAGTCACTTGCCACCACAGGTAGGTTTTACATTTCTTTTTGAATCAAAGTTATAAGATCGAGGAGATCAGTTCGATTATAATTGCATATTCATCTAGTTAACATGTTAACCTTTAACATAGAACATTTGTAATCCCAGTATACGTATAACCAAATAAAAACGATGATAGAAGAAAGCGAATGGTGGATGAGCCCAACGATGAAATTGATTGTCGGATGAGACAATGAAAACTATGAATTAGTATCAATCAAAATCCAAAGTAGAGAAATTTCTACTTTATTAGCCAACAGAATTAAAGGTTAATTTAGTCACTTCTTTACAAACATGCCTAATTATGATGTAAGAAATAAACATATAAATTTCTAGATGTTTCATAGATGAATGAGAACACATGATAAGTGTTGAAAACCATTGTATAAATAAATGCTTTATTTTTATCGTGTCGCATAATAGTAGTCATTAGGTGCAACCAACAAAGATTGTGTGTGTGAAGCGAATTCTATGCATTTTAAATGCTTTGAATGTACCATTTGCGAGCTGTTCTTACACAATGAGAAATACTTTTATAAATAAATAATTATGAGTAAAAAACGACAAGTTGGGCCAAACCAAACTGATCAAGAATAATCATAGAACCTTTCTGCTTAACATAAAAATTGATCAAACGAGAGTGATAATGGCACAGTTAGTTTTAAGGAACACATGCAAAATGTTGTCGAAATAATAAATTTTTCATTAATTACAAATGGCAATAGTGACGTACTTAGAATACTAGTCGAATTAATAATAATCATTATAATTCAAGATAACATAATATCTGTAAAGATCTAATGATTTCGGTAGCTTATATAGGTAGTATGTCAAAAATATTTTTAGTTAGTGTTCGGGAGGTTAGGTCCCCAGAACTCACTTGTTGTTGTTAGTTAGCAGCCTGTTACCCCCAATGGAGCATAGGCCACCCACCAGTTTTCTCCAACCAACTCTGTCCTGGGCTTCCCTTTCCAGTTCTGTCCAATGTTTGTTCATTCTTCTCATATCTTTCTCTATTTCTCGGTGTAATGTGTTCCTTGGCCTTCCTCTTTTCCTTTTGCCTTGAGAGTTCCATGTGAGGGCTTGTCTTGCGACGCAGTTAGGTGCTTTTCGTAGTGTGTGTCCTACCCACTTCCACAGAACTCACTTGGAAAGGAGCTAGTTTTGTAATTTATTTCTGAAACTTTGAATTTTTATGTTCTCGCGCCAAGAGACCTACAGCTTACATTTCCCCCTCGGTAATCCCTGACTGTCACTGGTTGACGGATTTTTCTAGTAAGCTATTTGTGGCTCTGCACAGGGCGTTGCTATCATTGTGTGCTTAGCAACCTCAATCTTTCTGGCTGCCTGTAGAATACATTCTCTACGCCTTATCAAGACTTCTTGCTTTAGTTAGCCGGGCCTGGGACAACGGATTAGAATATCCTATCATGTCACTGTATCATTGACCTTCGTTCCGTTTACCGAGTAAGGTGAACTCGTAATATCATTCAAGCATATCAATTGGCGAGCACATCAGTTTGGTAGTTATAAAATAGACATAGGAACTTAACCAGCATCTTCATGTGTGAATGGTTTTTATTGATGAGTTTATTTTGATAAATGAAAAAATATTTCGATTATTTCATGAGTATTGTCTGGAAAAAAAAGTACGTTGTGTTTAATTTGCTTGAAAATGTTACCGGTTATTCAAAATTAGATAAGATTACACTAGAAATTCATTCATCTCTCCGACGTCATCAACTACTGGAGGATCCATATAAAATACCCATCAGATAAATATAAATTGTTAAAGATTGACAGTATGTTACAAAACTTCATCATAATAATTATTTCTAATTCTCTTTTAATTTAACTGGCCACTCTTTGAAAACTAAGCTAAATTTATTGGTATTCCATTTTTTTTGTTTTGTTTACATAGGAACAAATGAGATATATTCATCCTGTAACCGATACCTTGAAGACAATGTTAGCTTGTGGTTGGTCTGTTGATGGTGATGAAAATCGTTATCGTGATACACCTGGTGATATAAAACAACTACGTAGACAAACAATTACAGTATGAATTACAATATGAATTATATTTTTGGAAATTTTTTTCATTTTGTTTATATTTAATAATAACTATGAATAGAGAGATGTTAATTTTAATGTTACATAATCTAACAAGATATGATTCGTTCGTTTAAAGATGATATAAACTGTTATATACACTGATATAATCTGAGAAAAGATTGGAAAAACCAATAAGACTACAAATAGTTTTTCATCAATTAATAAGAGACGGAACAAAAAAATCTTCAAATTGGTCTTGATTATCAAGATGTTGTTTAAAACATCTGGCCAATATTCGATACTCCAATCGTAATCGATTTGAGAAATAGATGAATCGCTATCCGATTTTATTTATTCAACAGCTATGTATTTTATCGAATCTTTAATTCATGCGAAATGTGGATGTTGATAGATTTAGATTACTTTTCTAAAAATACTACAACTTATTGTTTAGAAGATATCTTTCATGCTTCATATGTTAAGAACTATTGTGAAAAATAAAAGACAAAATGTGCATAATTCAGTGCTTAGTTATATTGCTTAGTGAGAGTAGTTCAACTGATTGATTACTGCCAAACACATTCAGTCCTATGTTTTCAGATTTATTGGGTCAGGGTTTCTTTAGCAAGGTTACCATTTTTTCACAGAATAAGGTTGCTAATCTCGTGCCTAACGCTCCTCCTTTATCCGGACTTGGGATTAGCAATTACTCTAGGAAGGCTCCAGGAGGAGTTAAATTTATCTACTGATATTTAAAATAGTATAAATCACATTCAAATTGCTGATGTCGTTTGAATTACTTGTGAATTTTCCATTGATACATAATAGAATCTCTATCACCAATCTTACTTTTCTACCTTGCATCGAACAATATTAATCTTTTTGTTTCGTTATACAACAAATGAGAAATGTGTAAAAACACTAATCACCATAACTCTAATTGAAAATATCGTAACATGTGCTCACTAGTGACTAGCTTCGTGAGGAAATTATCCGAGTTCCAGTGAGAAGACATGACCAGTGGAGTTCAACTCTGTCGGGTGTAGGCAGTAACTACCGAAGACAAATGGGTGAGGTCGCGCGAAATCCCTTGATCAATCAGAGTTAGACATTAACACCACTGGATGCCGGCCCAGTGGTCCGATGTTTAGGCGTTCGCGCACAAGACCGAAGGTCCTGGGTTCGAATCCTGCGGGGTGCAGGATTCGTGGATGCTCACTGCTGATGAGTCCCGTACCAGGACTTCCAGTGCTTCCAGGTTTCTAATGGTGGTTTAACTATGATTGAGTGGTGATTTCAAATGTGTAAAAACACTAATCTCCAAAACTCTAATAGAATAAACAATTTTATTCACAGGATCTAATCAAATAGTCACATCAATCTTAATTGATGATTTTATTTTCTAGTGCAAAAATAGTCATCAGTTTATAATATGAATGAATAATAATTAATTAACACTTATTTATATTTATCTCTGTCATTAATTTTTCTTTTCATATACAGAGTGATAATCTGTTAAATTATAATCCATGTCCAAAAGATTTACGTGGTGTCAATGTGACTAAAGAAATGTTAAATATGGCTGAACGTTTAGCTGATAATGCACATAATATATGGGCTAGACAAAAAATGAGTGATCTTGAAGCAATTGGTAAGCATTGATCATCATCAATTTCAGAGTGTAAATATATATATAAATATTTTAATGTGATTACAAAATCGGATATTTTTAAAATCATTCATTTTTATTTACTTATTTGATATCTGATATTTGAAGCTATAACTATGGAAGTTAGTGTTCTAGTAACCTCATGGACTATTGCTTAATTATAGCTGGATCACTATGGAGCATTTCTCATTCTAATTTTGTATCAAAACTATCAAATAATGAGGCTTGGTAATAGCTTCATATTCTTTTCAGATACCAAATATGAGTGTGACTGATAAGCACCCAACTAACATAGAATCTATATCTGTTGTTGACATTTTCTTTGTCAAAATCAGTTTTTCAATCAATTACTTATACATTGGATTTCATTCTGAAAATATTCTATGGGAGAATAGACTATTAAAGAAATATTCTTCTAAATTATATTAAAGATTCTGTTATAAATTCTTTAATTCCATATAAATATACTGTATGTTTCTTCGTATTAATCAATAAAATCCTGATTTTTAATGACATTTCTTTTTGTTTTTCTCATTAGGTGGTGGAGTACACCAACTCTTAGTACCATATGATATATTAACAGATAATGAACGTAAACGTTATAGACGTTTAACTCATGAATTAATCAAATATTTACAATATAATGGTTATAGATTAACTGTTCGAACTGGATCAAATTCACCAAGTACAAATTTAAATAAAACAACTGGAGGTACTGATAGTGTTCGATTGCATGACAATCGAAGTAAGTGAATAAATAAAATGCTTTATTTCCTGCTTCCAGCTTTTACTCATTACTGATTTTCTGTTTCCATTGTTATAATTCACTTTTTTCTTGCTAAACAAAATCAAAGTGATTAACTATGGTTATTATTATTATT